GGGAAGTTTTTGTTTTATTATGCTCCATGCAGGTTCTGGGGCAGCATGTGCTATTCGGCTTCCCGGGTTCATCAGTAATGTCCCTGGACTCAAGAGAGATTATTGATGAACCCTGGAAGTTGAGTAGCAAATATTGCCTCCTCAGCTGCCCCAGGAACCTGCATGGGGCACAGCAAAAGCTTCTTCCCGAGAGAGCCAAAGATGCTGTTCCCCGTGGTGGTTTGGGGTCTGGGGAGGGTTCAAAAGAGAACTAGATACATTCATGGAGGATAGGTTTATCAATGGCTATTAGCCAGGATGTGCAGGGATGGTGTCCCTAGCCTCTGGTTGCCAGAAGCTGGGAATGGGCAACAGGGGATGGCTCATTGATGATTACCTGTTTTGTTCATTCCCTCTGAAGCACCTGGCAGTGGCCACTGTCGGAATACAGGATACTGGGCTAGATGGACCTTTGGTCCTAGCCAATATGGCTGCTCTTATATTAATTCTCATTCCTTCTCCACTTTTGCCATCTCCAACATGGTGAACTCCAACTTCATAGCTGTTTCACTGAGACCTGTGCTTGCACATAACTTATCTTGTTCCTTGACTGAAAATCTCAATTCCTTCAGTATTTATTTCCTGAGTTGTGCATTGCTGCTCCAACTACTGCCTCTTTAGTTTGGAATACGATTCTTACTTAGTCACTGGGTGCTATTGTCTGTTCTATTTCCCTTACCTGAAATAAACAAAAAGAAAATAACAAACCATAATCTTTTTCATTTCTGTTTCCAGCCATCTCATCTGTGAATCTCTCAGTATCCATGGGCTGGTGGTCTACACTAGAAAATTAGATCGACCCAGCTAACGTCTCTTGGGGTGTGAAAAATCCACATCCCTGAGAGATATAGTAAAGCTGACCTAAGTTCCTGTGTAAACGGTACTAGCTCGATGGAAGATTTCTTTCATTGATCTAGCTATCGTACTGCCTAAGGGGTTACGCAGAGGTCTTCTGGGGGTACATCAGCTCATCTAGATATTTGCCTAGTTGTTTTATTTTTGCTTGGAGCTTCAGGGATGGCAGTTGGGAGCTTCAGGCTACATAAAAAGCACTAGCTAAGTCAGTACAAATTAATATTTCATACAGACAACTTGTTTGTACTGCTCTACATGCTATCCACTGAAATGTGAGTACAATATTTATATTCCAATTGATTTATTTTATAATTATATGGTAAAAATGAGAAAGTAAGCAATTTTTCAGTAATACTGTGCTGTGACACTTGTATTTCTATGTCTGATTTTGTAAGCTAGTTGTTTTTATGTGAGGTAAAATTTGGGGGTACACAAAACAAATCAGATTCTGGAAAAGTTGAGATCTACTGGTTTACAGTAGTATGTTTGGCCATGTCTTGATGGGCAAAAAGATAGGATTTTCTATCAAATTTGTTCAGTCAAGTTAACATAACACAATTGACAAGTCTTCTTAAAGAGTGCTAAAATGTAGGTTAACACATTGGAAGTTGAAGATCCTAAGCTACAACAGAGCCACTTAACATGACTCCAAACATGTTAGGTTAAGTTAAGCTTTTCAGTTGTGTTAATCTAACTCAATTGAGCTGATGAGTGAAAAACACACCTTTTTTGTCTGTCAAAATAGGCTTTAAGACTGAGAGCAATTTTTGATTTTGGTTGCATGTCCAGAGTGGAAAATCCCACCTGTGTAAACTCCAAAAAGGTCAGATCTTGATTTAATAAATTTATCTTTAGAAAGCAAACCTCATTTGCCAAGGTATAAATTAGCTCTTATTGGTAAGGTTAAGATTTTGTCTCAGTTATTTTTAGTAAAAGTCAGAGACCAGATCACAGATAATAAACAAAAATTCATAGAAGCACATGACCTGGTCTCTGACTTTTACTAAAAATAACTGTGACAAAATGGGGATGAGCCCCAGCCCTGCTGCGAGAAGGAAAGGGGAGGAGGATCCAGCACCCGCTGCCACTAGGAGCTCCGGGGTCCCCCAGCTGTCTGCGGTGGTTCGGTGCTGTGGGTCCTCGGCTCGGAGCTTCAGGGCTGGCAGTTGGGAGCTTCGGGGTTTCCCTGCTGCATGTGGTGGCTGAGAGCTCTGGGGTACCCCAGCTGGGAGTTGCGGGGGCTCCCAGCGGTAGCTGGGAGCTTGGGGTGCCCTCCGCCCCCTGTGACAGCACAGAGCTCCTGGGCACCCGGGCAGCATGGCTGCAGCGCCTCCAGCCCTGGTGTGCCAGGCAGCTGCCCCAAACCCCGGTACCCCAGACGGCCATGCGGTGTGGCCATAGCACTCCCAGCCCTGGAGTGCAGGTAGCGCAGTCCTAGCACTAGCCACCCTGAGTCCCTGCGGGAGGCAGGCCAGCCAGCCAGCTCCAGCTCCAGCTCCAGCTCCAGCCCCAGACAGCCTGGCCATGGCAGAGTGCTGGGAACTGCAGAAGGGGGTCTGGGGGTGGAGCATGGGCAGGGCCATGCCAGGCTGTTTGGGATGGCACAGCCTCCCACTGTCTATGATACTCGCAGCCCATGGCTCCGGGGCTGGTGGCTCGGAGCTGCGAGTCTTCTCACCGCTCGCATCGGCTGGGAGCTCTGGGTCCCCCAGCAGTGGCTGGGAGCTGCTGGTGCCCCTGCCACCCGTGGCAGCTCAGAGTTCTCAGGCCCACATTGGCTGACAGCTTCTGCCCTGCTGCCCCGGGGCTGAAGTCACGGGCGGCGGGTGAACCGTGGGCTCAGGGAGGCTAGTCCCCTGCCCAGCCCACCCCTTCTGCCCGAGGCCCCGCCCCGCAGCCCCAGGATGCCCGAACACCTCCAGCCCCAGAGTGCTGTGTGGGTGGGTGGTGCGTGGCCCCTGGAGCACCAGGCCCCACTGCTGGGTGGCCTAAGCACCAGTATGGAGCTTTACCATGAACAACAATCGCTCAGTAGGCATATGGGCTTTACTTCTGCAAATGGACATGGAGGATAGTTTTTTTTCAAATCAAATTGGGGTTCTCTTCCTCTTGCAGCCCTAGTTTCCTAGGCACGCTTCACTCCCCAGCCTGGGTGCTGCAGCCTCAGCGCCCCCAGCACAGGGTGGGCAGCCCCAGTGCCTCCAACTGCCCCCAGCCCTGGAGCACCAGGGGGCATGCCCGGGGTCTCCCCAGTGCTGGGTGACCCCAACTGCCCCAAGTCCCAGCCACAGGCCGGCTGTCCCAGAAGAGAAGCAGCCTGTCTGGGCTGGGGTCCAGGGGGAAGTGGCAAGCAGGCAGGAGCCTCAGGTGGAGCATGGGCGGGGCCACATAGGGCTATTTGGGGCGGCTTAGCCTCCCCCAGCCTATGATATGCGCTGCCAATGGCTGAAGCATCAGATGTCATGGAGGTCTCAGAAGTCACATAATCTTAACCTTACTTATTGGAGACTGGATGTGTGAAGGCATTGCTAATGAGCTATAGAGCCTTTCCCCTGTGCATCACCAATTTGATTTCAGCCCAGCTCAGCAGGATTAAAAATCATTCCCATCTGTTGGAAGTTCAGTGGGTGAGTGCCAGCTTCCACCTCACAGACTCACAAACAGTGTATGGGTACGTGGGAGGACAGGTGACATAAGGGGGTGGGGAGGCACTGTGTGGGTACGTGGGAGGATGGGGGACAAATGGGCTGTGAGGGGACAGGCAACGTGTGGGTACGTGGGAGGACAGGGGTCAGGCAGAGTGTGGGTGTTGGGGGGACAGGCAGTGTGTGGATATGTGGGAGGACAGAGCACAGGTGGGCTGGGGGGGGGGAGGGTGGACAGGTGTGTCTGTGAGTCATCAGATAGGCCAGAAATCACCATTTCAGCTTTTTAAAGTCTCATGAAGGGTGGTGTCTATGGAGTCGGGTAACCACCTGCCCCGGGTGTGGCAGGTGGAGGTGGGGGGTCTGTGGCGGCGGGTAACGCTGCCCCCCCTGGGTGTGGTGGGGAGTATGTGGGGGCGGGTAATGCTGCTCCCCCGGATGTGGCGGGTGGAGGTGGGGGGGAGGTCTGTCAGGGCGGGTAACACTGTCATGTGGGTGTGGTGGGTGGGGGTCTGTGGGGGCGGGTAAGGCTGCTCCCCCGTGTGTGGCGGGCGGAGGTGGGGGGGAGTCTGTGGGGGGCGGCTAACGCTGCTCCCCCGGGTGTGGCGGGCGGAGGTGGGGGGGAGGTCTGTCAGGGCGGGTAACACTGTCACGTGGGTGTGGTGGGTGGGGGGTCTGTGGGGGCGGGTAAGGCTGCTCCCCCATGTGTGGCGGGCGGAGGTGGGGGGAGTCTGTGGGGGCAGCTAACGCTGCTCCCCCCGGGTGTGGCGGGCGGAGGTGGGGGGAGTCTGTGGGGGCGGGTAAGGCTGCTCCCCCATGTGTGGCGGGCGGAGGTGGGGGGAGTCTGTGGGGGCGGCTAACGCTGCTCCCCCGGGTGTGGCGGGCGGAGGTGGGGGGAGTCTGTGGGGGCGGGTAAGGCTGCTCCCCCGTGTGTGGCGGGCGGAGGTGGGGGGAGTCTGTGGGGGCGGGTAACGCTGCTCCCCCGGGTGTGGCGGGCGGAGGTGAGGGAGGGTCTGTGGGGGCGGGTAAGGCTGCTCCCCGGGTGTGGCGGGCGGAGGTGGGGGGGGTCTGTGAGGGCGGGTAAGGCTGCTCCCCGGGTGTGGCGGGCGGAGGTGGGGGGGGTCTGTGGGGGCGGGTAAGGCTGCTCCCCGGGTGTGGCGGGCGGAGGTGAGGGAGGGTCTGTGGGGGCGGGTAAGGCTGCTCCCCGGGTGTGGCGGGCGGAGGTGGGGGGGGGTCTGTGGGGGCGGGTAAGGCTGCTCCCCGGGTGTGGCGGGCGGAGGTGGGGGGGGGTCTGTGGGGGCGGGTAAGGCTGCTCCCCGGGTGTGGCGGGCGGAGGTGGGGGGGGTCTGTGGGGGCTGCCCCCCCCCCCGCACGGGTGTGGTGGAGGAAAGGGAAGGGGTCTGGGTTTCACCCACCCCACAGGGAGCCTAGCCCGCCCTCAGCCTCTCTCTGGGCGGGGGGGAGGCGGAGCAGCGGGCTACCCAGACACCAGGGCCGGGCGTCGCCCCTCGCCTCCATGGCAACGAGCCGCCGCCGCAGCTCGCAAGCCACGGGCTAACGGAGCCGGCAGGCTGCGCCTCCCCCCCGCCCCCGCACGCGGGCACGCACCCAAGGGCAGAGGTGCAGGTGGCTCCACCAGGTGAGGGCAGGGTCTGACTGGGCGGCGCCTATCGCGGCTGCTGGGGCGGGGACGCGAAACAAACCCCGAGAGGGGCCGCGGCGCGAGCGGCGTTGGGCGACTGAACGTTCCTCTGTCCTGCCGGCCGCAGGGGGAGGGAGGTGCGGAGCCTCTGCCGCGAAGCAGGATGGGCGACGTAGTTCTTGGGCTCACGCGTTCTGTGACGCCCAGTAGAGGCGCGGGCGGGAGCGGACTACAGAGCCCAGCGCGCTGCGTGTAGCCGGGTGGGGGGCACAGCCTGGCTTTGCCCCGGCATCTGAGCCTTTGCGGGGGTCGGGGGTGATTTGTTGGGGGCCCGGAGGTGGGTGCGGCACCGGGGCCTGCGACAGCGCCGGCTGGGCCCCTGCTTGGGGCCGCTGCCGCAGACGGGGGCGGTATAACGGTGCTGAGGCTGCTCCCCCGCCCCACCGTCTGTCGCGGGATGGTGGGGCCTCCGCATCTCGGGCGGGGCCCTGCGAGCGGACAGACCAGCGCCCCAGAACCAGGCAGGGGGCTGGGAAACGCTCCCCTCGCCGGGGCTGGGGGAGGGGGCGCGTTGTGCGTGGGGGCTGGAGGGTGAGTGCTGGGGAGAGGAGGGGGAGCTGGCAGGGGCGGGCTGAGTGCTGCATAACGAGGATGGAGAAGTGGGGGTGGGGAGGCTGAGTGCTGCATAACGAGGATGGTTAGGTAAGTGGGGGTGTAAGGGGGGGCTGAGTGCTGTACATTGAGGATGGAGAAGTGGGTGTGTAATGGGGTGGGGATGAGTGCTGTGTGAGGGGACATGGGGGAATGAAGGAGGTGTGTAAGGAGGGAGTGAGGGCTCTGGAGTGTCATCCAACAAATGATTTATTGTATGTTGTGCAATTCTAATGCACCTCTCAAACACTGACCCTGTTGCGTTAGCCGCTCTACGCATGCACACAGCCAGTTTTATTTTTTCATAGTTCCTTTTGTCTTTGAAATGCTCAGCTCTTCCATCCTGATTCCACAGCCTCCTCTCCCGAGGTTGCAGATTTAGCGTGTTCTGCAGCTTGTCCCTTTAGAAAAGACAGAAAACAAAGTTTCTGCTCCGAAGAGATTTAGCATACAAAAGTCTGTGTCCAATATAGTAATTGGAGATGGAACAAAATGTTAGGTCATGCTTCATCCTGTAGGGACTAGTGCAGGATTTTTCCTTACAGTCTATTCTTCGGTGGCTCGTGGCCTCTACTTTTAAAATGATGGACATTTGTTTCTAGTGGGGGAGGAAAAAACATTTCCTATCCTAGACACACCATATTTTGTGCATTTTACTCTAGTTGTAGCAGATGCACTGAGATTTTACTTGAGCCCCTGTGAGTGGTTTCTAAAGTGTCCAAAGAGGAAGGATTGATTGGTGAATTAGCATATGATTTAGCAGTCTAGTGATTTCTTTCCCAACCATTCCTAAGATATTCACAAATTGTAAACATTTATAATTTAATTACATTTGAAAAATTGCTATCTCTTGCTGTAAATGCAGTCAATACATTTAGTATGCTGCTCAGTTGGGAAAAGTTAAATATTTTCAACTTATTTATTTTATAGTACCCAAATGTGTGATACATCCTTCAGAGAAGAGGAAAAATGCTGTCCCTACCCAGAAGAGTTGGTGCTGGTCTACACTAGAAACTTAGATTGACTCAGCTATGTTACTCATTGGTGTGAAAAATCCATACCGCAGAGCAATGTAGTGAAGCTGACGTAAGTCCCATGTAGACAGCACTAGGTTGATGGAAGAATTCTTCTGTTGACCTAGCTATCACCTCTTGGGGAGGTGCATTACCTATGCTGATGGGAGAATCTCTCCCATTGGTATAGGTAGTTTCTACACTAACGTGCTGTAGCATTTCAACTGTAGACAAGCCCTTGACATGGCCTAAGAGTGGGTTGTCTATATGTACAGCGCTGCAGTGGCACAGCTGGTGAGAGCATTCCTGTTGGCATAAAAAACCCACCTCCGTGAGCAGCATAAGCTATGTCGGCAGGAAAAACTCTCCCACTGACAGAGCGCTGTGCACATGAGTGCTTATGTCAGTGTCACTTATGTCGCTCGGGATGTGGAATATTCACACCCCAGGGTGATATAAATTTTGCTGACATCGGCTGTAGTGTAGACCATGGGCGGAAGGTGGACACCCCTTTTGGGGAGGCTAGCCCCCTAGCCCCGCCCCATGCAGCAGAGTCCTGAGCCACCCAGACCACCCCTCCTGCGTCTGGAGAAGCCCATCAGAACCCTAAGCCCCCACCCCAATCTCTGGAGGAGCCCTAGTGCCCTACCCGAGCCATGGTCCCCAGCAGCCCAAGCCACCCCTGGCCATGCTGGCCTGAGCCACCTCCGCGCCGGCAGGAGAATGAGAAAGGCGGCACACCTCCCCCAGCCACCCAGCGGAAGAATGGGAAGCTCTTTATATGCACCATGCAGGTTCCAGGGTGGCTGAGGAGGCGGTATCTGCTACTCAGCTTCCTGGGTTCATCAGTAATCTCTCTGGAGTCCAGAGAGATTACTGATTACGGGAAGCTGAATAGCAGATACAGCCTCCTCAGTTGCCCCGGAACCTGTGTGACGCATAATAAGTTAAAACTCTCAAATGGTGTCCTGTGGCAGCAGCTGTGCCAGGGAAGGCCTATTATACCCGCTGGCTGTGGTGTAAACATAGCTTTAGACATAACACCATCAGTAAGGATTACAGCAGTAGGGAGGGAGATAGCGTAAGGGAGAATGAGGGTTACAGCAAAAGCATAATGCAGCTATTTGCTATGAGATGTACACATCTTAGTAAAAAGAAAAGGAGTACTTGTGGCACCTTAGAGACTAACCAATTTATTTGAGCATGAGCTTTCGTGAGCTACAGCTCACTTCATCAGATGTTTACCGTGGAAACTGCAGCAGACTTTATATACACACAGAAATCATGAAACAATACCACAGTGGGGTGGGAGGAGGTATTGTTTCATGATTTCTGTGTGTATATAAAGTCTGCTGCAGTTTCCACGGTAAACATCTGATGAAGTGAGCTGTAGCTCACGAAAGCTCATGCTCAAATAAATTGGTTAGTCTCTAAGGTGCCACAAGTACTCCTTTTCTTTTTGCGAATACAGACTAACACGGCTGTTCCTCTGAAACACATCTTAGTGCTTTTCTTTTTTAATGGGAAAATAAAACAGGTCACATTAAAACCAATGAAAATAACGGACTCATTTATTGTAGACATTGCAGGAAAAGTGAGATTTTTTTTTTTTGAGCGCAACTTAAATGAGGCGAGGGTAGTGCCTTGGCAGACAAGAACAGGGAAGGTGTTGCAGGTATAATGGGCAGCATGAAAAAAGGCAGAAAAGTGAATGAAAAGGGGGTAAAGGCTGGTATCTTTTGCCTCTGTATTTTCTCAGCTGTGCTGCTCTTGGTAGTTAATGTTCCATTGAAAGCAAATGAAAAGTTAGGATTCTTGCTACTTGATGTTTATTTACAGTCACAGGACAAACTCATTCTACCTGGAACTTTTGGCATCAGTAAAGTTATTTATAATCAGCTGCTAGAAAATATATATGCTAGGCATATTCAAGTCAGACTTTCTAAGACTGGGAACCAAATGCTGCTTGCTTTACTCATACCCATAGTCCCACTGAAGTCAATTGAAATACTTAAATGAGAGTATGGCAAGAAAGATTTTGACCCTGGATGTATAGTTTAAATTTTAATGTCTGAGCACTGAGGGTATGGCTACACTTGCAGATGTAGAGCGCTTTGAGTTAAACCCACCTTCGGAGAGGACAGTAGGGAAAGCCCTGCAGTCTGTCCACACTGACAGCTGCAAGCGCACTGGCGTGGCCATATTTGCGGAACTTGCAGCAGCATTGGGAGCGGTGCATGATGGGCAGCTATCCCACAGAGCACCTCTTCCCATTCTGGGGCTGTGGCTTGTGGGAAGGGGGCGGAGGGTGCAGGGCATTCTGGGTCCTATCCCAACGCCCTGTGATGCATCAGTTCGCATCCCAGCGATCCCTGTGCTTCCGTCCACATTTGGTGCCATCTTTCAACGTTTTTTGTACTGCGCGCTCTGTCTTCTCTTTTGGTCTGCGGGAATGGAGCCCGAACTGCTGAGGAGTATGCTGATGAGTCTTGCCAGCACGTCACATTTGGCAGTCAAGTTATTCCTTATGATCCAAAGTGACAGTGAGGACTCCGATGATTATATCGACTTGAGTAACGCATATGACATGAGTTTGCTTGTGGCATTCATGGACATGCTCACCACGGAATGCTGCTTTTGGGCTTGGGAAACGAGTACTGAGTGGTGGGATCACATCGTCATGCAAGTCTGGGATGATGAGCAGTGGCTGTAGAATTTTCGGATGAGAAAAGCCACTCTCATGGGACTGTGTGAGGAGCTTGCCCTCACCCTACGGCACAAGGACATGAGATTGAAGCTGCCCTGATGGTGGAGAAGCCGGTGGCTATTGCAATCTGGAAGCTGGCAACTCCAGACAGCTACCAATTGGTTGCTAACCAGTTTGGAATGGGAAAGTCGACCATTGGAATCGTGTTGATGCAAGTTTGCAGGGCCATTAATCGCATCCTGCTCAGAAGAACCATGACTCTGGGTAACGTGCATGACATTGTGGTTGGCTTTGCACAAATGGGTTTCCCTAACTGCGGAGGAGCGATAGATGGCACACACATTCCAATTCTGGCACCAGCCCACGTAGCTTCAGAGTACGTTAATCGGAAGGGGTATTTCTCTATGGTTCTCCAGGCACTTGTGGATCACCATGGGTGTTTCATTGACATTAACGCAGGCTGGCCCGGAAAGGTGCATGACACACACATCTTTCAGAGCACCGGCCTGTTCAGGAGGCTGCAAGCTGGGACTTTTTTCCCAGACCAGAAGATCACTGTAGGGGAAGTCAAAATGCACACTGTGATCCTTGGAGACCCCGCTTAACCTTTAATGCAGTGGCTCATGAAACCCTATACAGGGAGCCTTGACAGCAGCAAGGAGTGGTTCAACAAGAGGCTGAGCCTGTGCAGAATGACTGTGGAGTGTGCTTTTGGCGTTTAAAGGGCCCCTGGTGCTCTCTGTGTGGGAAGCTGGACCTGGCCGATGACAGCATCCCCGCGGTTATATCCGAGTGCTGTACCCTCCATAACATTTGTGAAGGGAAGGGTGAATGATTCACTCAGACATGGAACTCAGGCTCAATACCTAGAGGCTGAATTTGAACAGCCAGAGAGCAGGGCTATTAGAGGGGCCCAGCGCAGGGCTGCAAGGATTAGGGATGCCTTGAGGGAGCAATTTGAGGCTGAAAGCCACCAGTAGTGTCTGGTGCCCTGCCTGGGAGTGAAGTGCAGTGGTTCCAATGTTAGTAGGAATCTGTGTTTGCTATGCTGACTTGCAGTGCCTGTTTCTTTCCTGGACTAAGGTATCTTTTACTTTATGCAATAATAAAGAACGTTTTCAAAGCCAAAAAATCCATTTATTGAAAAGAAAATAATTCATTGAAAAGAAACACAACTGCTTGGGAAACAGAAAGGGCAACAGGGTGGGGTGGGGAATGGTACAATCACAGATTTGCTTATGTCCTGTTATACTCAGCCTTCCTGTCTGGAGTGCTGTGCAATGAGTGCTGCACTTCAGGATGGCTGTACTGCATGGTGATGGGGTTTGAGTGCAGTGGGTAAGGGTCATAGTTTTCAGGGCTGGGTTGTGAAGCTACAGGCGTTGGAGGCAGCTGGTGGCTGTAAGAACCTGGATGTTGGGGAAAGTGGGTTGGAGGTGACATGGGGGCACAAGGGAAAGAGTTTTGGGACAAGGGCTGCAGGGGGGGTCGGGCATGGTAGTGCTTCGCCTGCATGGCTACGAGCACCTGGATTGAGTCTGCTTGGTGCTCCATTATGCTTATCAGCCAATCTGTGCTTTGCTGCTGGAGCACCGCACTTTTGTGCTAGTGATCCTCATTCTGCTGGCGGATCCTCCTTTTGCTGTCCCGCCACTCCTACACTTTTTGATTTTCATTACTTGAATGCTGCATTACTTCATGCAACATGTCTTCCTTGCTTCTACGTGGCCTCTTTCTGATTCTTTGGAGTCTTTCGGCCAGTGATAACATGGATGGCTGAGATCTCAAGGTTGCATTTGTAAAGGCAAAATGCAACACTTAACAGAGGCAGCATTGTTCATACCAGACAGAGCAATGATTCCCCTGTACTTCAGGGCAAGCCCAGTCTACACAATAGCATAATTTGCCCGTCCCAACGCGAGCGCACATAACCTACAGGATCCCCAAAATGGTGAGTAAGCACAGCGTCAAGCTTGACTGATTGTTTCATGGCTGAACTGTCCTCTGGGTTTCTGTGTCTTGGGGAGAGTCAACAGCGGCAGGGGGCCCCTATACTGAACATTGTCCCCACATTTTCCACAGGAGTTCATCCTGAAGAAATCTTGCTGCTGAGGGTGACCTGGGAAGCAAGGGAGGGTCTTCTACTGCAATGCGGATTCCACCCTGGCCCATATGCAGCCTGCCTGTGTGCAGCAATGGTCCCCTCACCCCTCACGGCACAGTGTCGCAGACAAGTTAGCCTTACTGGGACCAGGAACACAGTGGCTCTCCCGAGAAACCTGCGCAAGCGCATTGCCCAATTTCTGGATGAGACCTCTGAAGAGATCACTGAGACCAATTACCACGATGTGAGAGAGCACATCAATGACCTATTTCGCATCTTAGGCATGCATGCAGCCCTAACCATCCTCACCCCAAGAGCCTCCACCGAATAACTTCCTTCCCAAAATAAAAGCCGCTTACTGGGAATTTCCTCAGATGTTTGTCCTTCCCCAAGCACCGGCCCCCACGACTGGCTACCTTCCTCCTGGCTTGAGAACAGCTCCTGGCTGCATGCATCTAAGGATTCTGGGGTGTTTTCCTCCATCTCGGCACCCTTGCTCCCACTTTGCTGCTCCTCCTCCTGCCTTGTTGGACTGGGCTCTGAAGTGTCCATGGTGGTACTCTGAGTGGAGATGGGGTCGCCCCCAAGTATCACGTCCAGCTCTTTGTAGAAACAGCAGGTTGCAGGGGCAGAACCGGAGCGGCTGTTTGCCTTGGGGGGTTTGCGGTAGGCATTCCACAGCTCCTTCACTTTATTCCTGCACTGCAGTGCGTCCCAGTCATGGCCCCTTTCCATCATGTCCCTTGATATCTGCCCAAAGGTATCATAATTCCTATGGCTGGAGCGCAGCTGGGACTGGACAGCTTCCTCCCCCCAGCCATTGATGAGGTCCAGCACCTCGCCATTGCTCCATTCTGGGGATTGCCTGGCACGTGGAGTCATGGTCACCTGGAAAGATTCGCTGAGAGCACTCCACACCTGGGTGGGCAAACAGGAAGGGTATTTTCAAAATTCCCAGAGAATTTAAAGGGCGGGTTTGATGGTTGGTCATCTCAGGGCAGGGCAGTAGAGTTCAAAGTGATGACCAGAGTGGCTAGAACAGGCATTGTGGGACACTTCTGGAGGCCGATCAGAGCACACTAACAGACCAGGGCGTCCACACTCGCACTGCGGCGCTCCAGCAGGGGTGCACAAAACGTTATTCCACTCACCGAGGTGGAGTACCAGGAGCGCTTTAGCCGCGAAGTCAGAGCACTCTACGGGCCTTGCCAGTGTGGATGGGTAGTGAGCTAGTGCGCCTGGGGCTCCTTTAATGTGCTGTAACTCGCAAGTGTACCCTAGCCCTAACTTATTTTACATTTCATGCTGTGGGATAAACATTTCAATGTAGATCCATCCATTATTAACAATGGTTTATCATTTCAAAAATATACGTCTTGCAGTAACAAGAACCATAATTTCTTCAGAAGATACAAATACAAATAAGATACAAATTCACTGAAGTTTCTGAGATAAAAAGACCAAAATTACACTGGGATTCAAATTTAAGAAATATTCTAAGTATCTGTTTAATCTTTTCTCATCCCCTCAAATTTATATTTTCAATCAATGACATTGCATTGCTTCTTATTATTTAAAGTAATATTTGTTCATAGTAGTGCAAACAATGCATGCCATTTCCAAACATTCAAGAAGGAATGGCAGGTACTCCAAGGAATGCACAATCTAAGGCTGGGAAGACAAGTGGGCAGAAGTTAGGGCAAGGTGGATCAATAACAGGCCTTGTATATGCAGGTCAATTTGATTATACAAATATGAGGTCATCTTCAACATAAGTAATTGTCACTCAAAAGAGTCACCTTTTTAAAAATTGAGATATCGAAAGATTTGAAACCTGCTACACCAATAATAGAGAACTTGTCTCTGGTGTCTACTTGTCTAAACCAGGGGTTCTCAAACTTAATTGCACGGCATCCCCCTTCTGAAAACAAAAATTATTACACAACCCCAGGTGGTGAGGGGGACAGAAGCCTGAGCCTGCCCTAGTCCCGCTGTCCTGCGTCAGAGGGCGAAAGCCCAAGCACCAGTGCCCTGGATGGGGGGAGTCAAAGCCAAAGCCCAAGGGCTTCAGCCTGAGGCAGGGGGCCTGCAACCTGAGCCCTGCTGTCCAGGGCTGAAGCCCTCGGATTTTGGCCCTGGGCCCAGCAAGTCTAAGCCAATTCTGGCGACTCCATTAAAATGGGATCACGACCCACTCTGGGGTCCTGACCCATAGTTTGAGAACCGCTGGTTTAAACCATTATTATCTGAGTAGATAAATATCTTTAGCTTGTTCATAATCATAAGAAGACAATTAGTTTGATTCCTACAGAAGTACAGTTTAAACGGGGAAAAGTACTGAGGCCTAAATTAAAGTAGTAGTATACATTCTGATCTTTGTGGCCCCGGTTTACAAACACGTATGAGAGAAACTTAACATTAATTTAGGGGGAACCACTCATATGCCTTAAGTTACTAATGAGCTTAAGGATCTGCTTGATTTAGCCTAAAGTCAGTTAAAATCCTTTATTGAAGGTTGTACTGGAAACAACTTTGAGATTTGAAGGAGGGACTAAAACTGGCAGTCCCGTCAAGAAATAGCATAGCAATCTGTAGGTTTCAGAGTAACAGCCGTGTTAGTCTGTATTCGCAAAAAGAAAAGGAGTACTTGTGGCACCTTAGAGACTAACCAATTTATTTGAGCATAAGCTTTTGTGAGCTACAGCTCACTTCATCGGATGCGTACTGTGGAAACTGCAGAAGACATTATATACACAGAGACCATGAAACAGTACCTCCTCCCACCCCACTCTCCTGCTGGTAATAACCCATCCAAAGTGACCACTCTCTTTACAGTGTGTATGAAAATCAAGGTGGGCCATTTCCAGCACAAATCCAGGTTTTCTCACCCCCCCACCCCCATACACACACAAACTCGCTCTTCTGCTGGTAATAGTTCATCCAAAGTGACGACTCTCCCTACAATGTGCATGATAATTAAGGTGGGCCATTTCCAGCACAAATCCAGGTTTTCTCACCCCCCCTCCCCACAAACTGTGCAATCTGTCATTCCTCTTTGTCAAGTACTTCAGAAAACCCTAGTACATAAGCATTAATGTGTTAGGTTAATTCATCAGAATTTTAATTTTTCCATTCCGTAATAGCACGCTATCTCTAATTATAACATTGATCAACTGCTTAGTGCTTTCTTTAGTTTTGACTACCATTAACTTCTGAAATTTTTTTAAGATTCTGTTTTTGTTCGCAATTCAGGCAATTCAAATTTGTCCTCAAAAGAATTGAAACAAATCTCTTTTCAGAGGCAAGTGTTGATGCTACAGGCCTAGTACCTGGTGTCCCCTCTCCAAATATACTTGTAACATTTCAAAATGGATTTCACTTCATTACAGTCTGAAGACTGAAATGCAAGGAAAAAACAACTTGTTGCTTAATTTTTTCAGAGCTTCCCTTGTGTACTTTTAGGCCTGAAGTGAGGAAGGCATCCCTGTTGAGGACCACAATTAAGCACAAGCTCAGATCCTGAAGTCAATTGAAATGTAATCACATGCTTAAAATTAAGCCTTATTTTTTAAAGACCCTGGCTGTGCTGCATTAGCCTTACGATAGCTCGTGTTTGTAGAGGATTTATAGTTATTTTATTTTTTCCTTTTATTTTTCAGGAGAAGGTGGATTTTTGTTTTCTGAATTGTTTTCTTTGTTATTTCTCTATGATCCAGTTTAGTTGATTTTAGTTGATTTTGCTTTTTCCATAATTGTGAGGACCACTTATTTATTTTATATATTTTGCTTAGTTTTATTTCTGTGTTCTACATGGGGTTCTCAACTTTTTTCTTTCTGAGGCCCCCGAACATGCTATTAAAAACTCCACAGCCCACATGTGCTGCCACAACTGTTTTTCTGCATATAAAAGCCAGGGTTGGCATTATGGGGTAGCAAGCAGGGCAATTGCCCGTGACCACACGCCACGGGGGGCCCCAGGAAGCTAATTTGCTCAGGTTTGGGCCTCAGCCTTGCCACAGCGGGGCTCCGGCTTCAGCTTTTTGCCCTTCATCCCTGCTTAGCAGACCCCCTGTAACCTACTCGCAGCCTCTCTTCCCCTCATCATCATGTGGCTCTTTCCTACGCTAGAGTAAAACAGCTTCCCATCACGTCAAGACATCCTTAGAAATGTCTTAGTTCACGGAACATTGGGAAGAGGAACCATTTACAGACATTAGTGTCAATATAGCTGCTACAGATGGGCCCTAAGTTTGCTTGTTAAAAATCCTGCACTCGCTAGGCTAAACAGGTCACAAGGGATATCAATCTTCATTCTTTGGCACATAAGCTGAACTGATCCCTAACTGGGGTCAGGAAAGAATTTTTCTCTTCTGTGGCATACAGTTCACAACTCATCAAGTACAGCTAGTATAAAAGGCTTTTTAGCCTTCTCTGGAGGATCATCATTATATTGGCTACTACCAGGGGACAGGTGTAGGCAAAGCTGGTAGCACTATCTTTTAAGATGGCCCAATATTTCCCATTATGAGATCTGGTTTTTAGCTGCTTATTACTTGCCAAACTTAAATCATTCGGGATGAAATTCTATATGCTAGGTGTTTGGTTCAGACTGTTTTTTTAAATTTCAACCAAAACAATTCAGCCATATCCGAGAACAAGGTTAGGGAAAAATGTATTTTACCCATGTTAAAAAATTCTGATGACCTTTTCTTTGAACAGCTCTGGTACCCCCAAGCTTTGAAGCAAAGACTTGAAATTGGGTAGGGAGTTGGCCTCTTAGAGCTTCCAATACAGAACTGGTTTCCAGCCATTAGAAGTTCCAGTCTTCAGGCATATCCAGTTCCAGTTCCAAGAGAGGGTCTCAGAAACCCAAAGGTAGCTTCGGATGCCACACCAAATCCACTTTCCTTGGTGTCAGGAGATGGAGAAAAGAGGAATACAATGGCACCATTGCTCCATGCAGTCCTGTTCCTGAGGATCAGGCAGGCAATTGGCAATGAAAATTAAGGTGGAATTGTCTGGTGCTAAGGTAGGAGGTTCTTGTTATCAGAAGCCCATCTCCTTGGTTCTAAGGAGTAGGTCCATCTTATCTAGTTCTGATGGAAAGATTGTCTATTCTCCCCAGTTTCAGTCCTGGAGAGGCTACAGTTTTCATTTCAGGCTTCATTATCTGTTTTGCTGAGCAGAAATCCCACAATGCTCCACTTGCTAGGGTGACGTTAAAGATTCCCTTGGAACTGAGAATTTGGAGCTGAAGTTTCCTTATTGTTGCTTTGGTGCCATTGGAATAGAATGAGAGGTTCATTCTAGGGTCATTTAGTTCCTTTTGCCTCAAACTAGACCTTTCTTGGTTTCATCATCGGCACTGAGTATTTCAGTATATCCCTCTCGGTTGAGGTTTTGAACCCCACCTTCTGCCCAAGGGCTATTTTGCACATTTATCTGCCATGGGCCAACTGGCCTTCCTGGAGATCATAGTCTTGGAGGATAGGAATGGCAGTCACTTTTTAATCTTCCCCTTAGTATACCAACCTGCCAAACCCCTGTACTACCTCCTTCACTGAGATATGATTCAGATTCCACAGCTGAGGAAGAGAGTGTTGGCCATACTCCATACGACTGATGTTTCTCCAGAGGATGTTATGATAGACATTATCAGTATTATGGAAGATATAAAATCTTCCAAGACCTGCTCATCAGGACCGTGGACGCATTGGTCTTTGAGTTATCTACTATTCAAGAAAAGTCTCACAAATTGTTGGATAGTCTGGAAATGAGTTAGACAGAGGGGTTGTACTAATAATGGCCTCATGGATCCTACCAAAAATTTCTGGATGACACCAGCCTCCATCTCACCAAGTTCTCAGAAACTTTTCAAAGGGCTCCAAGCTTTGGGTTCACCCCAGTGATGTAGATCTGTTTTGACAATCTTTTTGAAGACATCCAGCGGCAGGGGAGTAACCTTGTTTTATGATTCAAGTAAAAGCAACATTCCTGGGACAAAGTGTGTCCAAGCTTTCAACACCACTGCCCATGTCATGTCCTATGATTTCAGAGAAGACTTGAGTTTCTATTGCTGTCAATTTGGCACGTTTCATGAGCATTGCAATTCATATTTGAAGAAAACCCAAAAAAGCTGACAAACATTTGCCTCATCAGACCTTGTTAGATACAATATGCAAATTAAAAGAAATTGGATAGTATACAGAAGTACATTTGTCTTTATAGTGCATGGAATGTAACTGAGCTCTTTAGACATAGAGTAGCTGGGAACTACTGGGTTAGAGATATCTTCAGGGCAACTGCTACTGAGAAGAAAATATTTTTAAAAGAGAGGAAGGATAGTCTCGTGGTTAAGGCGCATTCATATGGGAGTTGAGAGCTGAGGTAAATTCTTGACTCTACCTCTGTTCCCAATCTTCTGCTTGCATGGCCTTTCCCTTTCTCCTGTCCTTTCCCTGTCTTGTATATTTAAAATGTAACCTGGTTAAGATGAGGTCTTTTGAAAGTTCCTAACCCAGTGGGCCCTTAATGTTGATTGGATCTCCAAATCACTCATGTAATACAAATAATATCATAAATGTAAAGCCTCATGTGATATATGATTCATGGGTAGCTGGTTGCTAATATATGTTGTGGTGTTACATAAATTAAAGCCTGATTCTGTCCACAAACACTTCGTTTGCAGTGAGATGGAGTGTAAACGTATCCTGCACTAGCCTGCCATGAACCAAGCGTCTATGATGTGGACCCTGTTGCCGTGCACTAAAAGTTCCCTACTGCGCTTTGACTCACTTTGAAACTGGAATGGATTAAAGCATACTAGTGAATTGTTAGTGTAAGGCAGCATGGTTCACACAGGCACTTACCCTGCACTAGCCTGCTGTGTGCTATGTTTACACCCTAGCTTGCTGTAAACTGAGTATTGATGATAAGAGGGATCAGCATGGGTGCTGCAGTCCACTGGCATACAATGATTTAACAGGCTCAGGGCAGAGGAAAAATACATAAGCTTTACCAGTCATCTGGGACAACTGTGGTTTTTTTTGTCAATAATCAGTATAATAAGGAGGTACTATAATAATCTGTACATCTAAATGGTAAAATGGATGTAAAACAGCCATGCAAGGAATAGCAAAACAAAAACTGCCTAATGATTTTCTGAATCATTATATAGCCTGTACGAGTTTTCGTCTTATGATTAAATGTTATGTTTTAGGTTTGTGAGAGACGATGAATTTGGCTGAGATTTGTGATAATGCCAAAAAAGGGAGAGAATATGCGCTTCTTGGGAACTACGACTCCTCTATGGTATATTACCAAGGTGTCATCCAGCAGATTCAGAGACACTGTCAATCAATCAGAGACCCAGCAGTTAAGGGCAAATGGCAACAGGTATGATGAAGTGGTATTGCATTGTATGTGGTAAATTTGGAAAGAAATACTGCATTGCACAAGCTTTTAAAATTTAGCCCAAGTATATATTGGTTAAATTGAAGTTCAGGATATTTATGTGGCAATATTTCTTGTGACATAGTTAGAAGGGATTCTTTAGTTCTAATTGAATCAATTTTCTTGTCTTCACTGGACTAATTGTGTGTGACTGCCTATTTTGGAAATACTATTATGTTAATGATTTCCTTTTGCTGTCTCATCTTTCATCCAACTAATATGCAGTAAGCTATGATGTGAGGAAATGGGCTTGTATCATTAAAAAGATCAATATAGTTGCAGTTATCTAAAACGTTATCTGCAGATTTAGATAGTACTCTTAGGCCCTGATCTCACAATCACTTGGGCATGTGCTCAACTTTATTTGCATGAGGAGTACTGTTGAAGTCAGTGGGAGTAATCCTGGGCTGAAAGTTAAGCACTTACATAAGCACTTCAGCTTTAATGACCTATTCTGGCCACATTCAAGTAAATGGCAAAATTCCTATTGATTGCAGTGATGGAAGGATTGGACCTTTTAAATCATTTTGAAAACTGATCAGCTTGTCTTCAGCCTTCGTCCTGGATTCACTCCGTTATACAAAAAGTGTTTTCTAACATCAACAAATTAATCTTTGGAGGATATGTGTACAAAGTGTATTCATAGTACAGATTCTTATTGTATAAAATTTATTTTGAATGGGAGGCAATATGTCTTGTGCACGTTTTTCTTTTTTAACTTTAACTAAGGAGATAATCTCAGGTAAGTATTTTAAATTTTAATTTTTGCCTGTTTACAGTAGTATCACGTACAAACATAAACCTGTATTGTCACCCTACTTTGTCCATTTTGCCTTGATAAACAGATTTTTTTTGTGTGTTTGAATGGAACTGAAGTTAACATAGAACATTTTGTCTACAACAACTTTAATTTAAACAGTGCCTTATATTTTGCCAAAATGTGTCTGACATCAGTATCAATCTAATTATATGTGTTTGTTTAAAACCTGCACAGCACATAACACTGGATCAAGCTCTATCCTTGGTTGCCTGCAAGGGGGCTCCTACTAAAGCCATGATACCAGCATGCCCAGATCCAAGGACAGAATTTGTCCCATTTGGACATGTATTTTAATAGATTTTAATTTGGAATGTATTTTAATAGATTCCACAAAAATAGGCAGTTTTTCTGCCCACCCCTCCCCGCCTCCACATGTAGCCTGTTAACTTGTTTTTTTTTTTTAAAGTGATATTTGAAATCCAAGAGATTTACGCTGTAAGAATTTATCCAAACCCAGACTGACATATGTGAGTTAATGGACTGCAGGATCCAACACTAATATTGTTACACTGTGGAGCTAACGCAAATGTTTTGGCCTAAAAACTGTGACATTATCCCTCAAAGATTTCACATCTGTTGTTAATATTGTGTTTAAGTATTGAATCCATGATTTATGCATTTCAGCCCTTTTGTATGTTTTCCTTGCTGTTGGATTTATCTGCCTTGGAATCTAAGGCGACACCTGCTTATAGCATTAAGTCATGCAGCACACTGTCTGCTGCTTATCTGTTTCTACTGCTATGCCAGTCTGCTTCTTCCACCTCTGCACTAACTAAGATCAGTAGGTTGGGAGCAGTTTACCTCCCATTAGCACTACAGATTCGTTCTCACTCTTTCCATCGCTGCTAGAAGTTGACCCACAAATACTAAATATCATACTATTCATAGGTCTTTACATTGGGGCTATGAAAGGTCTTGGCACTTACTAAGGTTTGTCAAACTGCCACATTAACTTGACATTTCTAATACTTGGATTTCAAATTCAAATTAATTTAGTGCATTAAAGAAAAGGATTTCCTTGATTTCAGTGGGAGTTGGATCAGGCCAGGAGTCAACAGATAGTAGATTAACAAGTATGAGACAGATAATTCCTTAAAATGTATTTGAATGGTGCTAGTTATCTACTATAGTCTCTGACCAGTAGAAAATGGAAGTTGCAAACATACAATGCAAGTGAATAACTTCACAGTCAGACTTCCATTATAACAGTAAGAAAACGTGGCTGAAGTAATTTCTTTTATTGGACCAACTTCTGTTGGTGAAAGACATAGGCACCGACTCCATGGGTGCTCCGGGGCTGGAGCACCCACAGGAAAAAAATTGTGGGTGCTTAGTACCCACCGGCAGCCCCCCTATCAACGGGCTCTCCCTCCCACCAGCGCCTTCTGCCCGCTGGTGGGTACCCCGATCAGCATCTCCCCCTCCCTCCCTCCCAGTGTCTACCATTTGCTGTGGATCAGATATTTCACAGCGTGAGGAGGCGCTGGGGGTGAGGGGGAGGAGTGAAGGCGCAGTGTGTTTGGGGAGGGGGTGGGAAGAGACGGGGTGGGGCACTAGGAGAAGGGGTGGAGTGGGGGCAGAGACAGGGGGAGCACCCCCTGGCAGATTAGAAACTCAGTGCCTATGGTGAAAGAAACCAGCTTTTGACCTCCACAGAGTTCTTCTTCATGTCAGGTTGTCTCTTTCACCAACAGAAGTTGGTCCAATAAAAGATATTTCCTCACTCGCCTTCATTCTCTCATATCCTGGGGCAAACATGGCAACAATAACACTGAAAACAAATTATAAAGGTAAGTCATGTTCCCAGTTTCTTCTGTTGCTTTAGTTGTCTTCTTAACCTAGGCTACCTTTATTGCCTCTCTTTCATATCTGTATTACTGAAAACATTTCCTGATGCTGTGGATGTATTGTGACTGTTCAGCTCTACAAGTGAACATCTCTGTCAAGTTTTGAACAATATCAGGGCATGGATCTCGCAGCCCGTACTCTCAAGATTCCATTGAAGTGTAATAGGAGTAGCCACATGTTTGAGAGCTGCTGTATTGGACCGTGTGATGGGTTGGATCACAGAAACCGCCTTGGGGCTGGCAACTGATGTGCCAAGACTACTTCTGCCCCTGCTTTCCCTGTCCTCCCAGCTTGGGACTTCAGTGCCCTGCCTGGTTTGAGCCAGACCTGCTAGCGTGCTGCAAACCCAGATCCAGGTCTGAACCACGTCCCCTAACAGCTGTGGGCTTAAACTGAAAGCAGCTTAAGAAGTGTTCCTGTCTTTAACACTCAGATGCCCAACTCCCAATGGGGTCCAAACCCCAAATAAATCCGTTTTACCCTGTATAAAGCTTATACAGGGTAAACTCATAAATTGTTTGCCCTCTATAACACTGATAGAGAGATATGCACAGCAGTTTGCCCCTCCAGGTATTAATATATACTCTGGGTTAATTAATAAGTAAAAAGTGATTTTTATTAAATACAGAAAGTAGGATTTAAGTGGTTCCAAGTAATAGCAGACAGAACAAAGTGAATTACCAAGCAAAATAAAATAGAACATGCAAGTCTATGTCTAATACAGTAAGAAAACTGAATACAGATAAAAACCTCACCCTTAGAGGAATTCCGGTAAGCTTCCTTTTACAGACTAGTCTCTGGGTCCAGCAATCACTCACACCCCCTGTAGTTACTGTCCTTTGTTCCAGTTTCCTTCAGGTATCCTTGGGGGTGGAGAAGCTATCTCTTTAGCCCGCTGAAGACAAAATGGAGGGGTCTCCCAGGGGTTTAAATAGACTTTCTCTTGTGGGTGGAGACCCCCTCCTCTCTCCTATGCAAAGTCATAGAATCATAGATCATAGAATCATAGAAAATCAGGGTTGGAAGGGACCTCAGGAGGTCATCTAGTCCAACCCCCTGCTCAAAGCAGGACCAATCCCCAATTTTTGCCCCAAATGGCCCCCTCAAGGATTGAACTCACAACCCTGGGTTTAGCAGGCCAATGCTCAAACCACTGAGCTATCCCTCCCCCCAAAACATATTTGCATTGGCCGGGAATCGACCCCGGGTCAACTGCTTGGAAGGCAGCTATGCTCACCACTATACCACCAATGCTTCTGGCTAAGTCTAGCTCCAAGATGGAGTTTTGGAGTCACATGGGCAAGTCACATGTCCATGCATGACTCAGTTTTTACAGGCAGCAGCCATTGTCCACATGCTACCTTGGACATCCTTATGTAGACTTCTTATGTGGATTGGAGCCTTCCAAGATCCATTGTGCATTAAGTGCTTCTTGATTGGGCACTTAACTTGCAAATTCCTTTCTAAAGAAGCTGACCAAATGCTTTACTAAGGCTATTCTAAAAATCAAGCAAGTACACAGCCAATATTCATAACTTCGAATACAAGAATGACACATGCATTACAAATAGGATGAATATATTCAGTAGATCATAACATTTACAGAGAATTGTTACATGGCATAGGTAGAATAAAACATATTCCAGTTATGTCATATATACATTCATAAGCATATTTCCATAAAGCCTTATGGGGGTGCACCGTCACAGACTGTTAGTTTTTTGTAAATGTTAATTTATTCCACGGGAGTGAACATTTTCTAAACCTTTTTTTCTGTTTGTAAATTGAGATTGTATATAAAAAATAAGACCTGTGCAAAAATTAAAACAAGTTTTTTCTGAAATCACTTGTTTATTTTGAAGGTCCGGCAAGAATTACTGGAGGAATATGAGCAAGTAAAGAGTATTGTCAACACGTTAGAGAGTTTTAAAATAGACAAACCTCCAGATATTCCTGTATCCTATCAAGATGAGCCATTTAGGGATCCTGCTGTTTGGCCACCTCCAGTTCCCGCTGAGCACAGGTAACTGGAAAGCACTATGGGATAGTTCAAACTTTAACTCCACCCTTGAACATTAATCCCTCTTAGCAGTGGACAAATTGATTTTTCAAGAGTCTGTTGCTACCTAAAAAGAATGATGCAGTTCAAATGTGGGGGTGATTTTTGAGGAATTGGATGTGTGTGAACGGTGGAAGAGGAAGTGTGTTTGGGTATTATGGTGTGGTAAAGCCTATGTATGGAGGTTGGGCATGATGTTAATGTTTCCATAACTGATTTTCTTGACTTTTGATGATTAGTTGCTAAGAAATTCTCTTGAACAACTGTAACTCTCTAACAAAATTCTTTGTTTATTATAAATGCCTTGGAATCATAAAAATTACAGCTAGAAAAGACCTATTAAATCAGCCAGTCCAGATCCCTGACCTTGTAGAATGGGTTATTCGCTAGTCTGAACAGTGACTGTTTTTGAGGTCAGTAATTGTTCAGGTATGGCCTAAGGTACATAATATGTTGCCTGAAGCCAAAAGCTTCAGGCATTGCTTTAGTACTGAAGGAAGTCTGCAGACAAGGTGATGCTTTGCACAGCTAGGGCCTGATCCAAAGCCCACTGCAGTCCATAGAAATACTTCCATTGAATTCATTGGGCTTTATAACAGGCCCCTAATGTAGGTCTCTAGTCTAACTTTTTACAACATAAAAGTGTTACACATTGTAGTTAAGGGGGTCTCTGAAAATAGTTGAGTTGCCCATTTTGTTGTTTGAAAGAGTGGTCAGTTGTCTGATTTTTGATTTTTAATTTTTTTTTAAATAAACTATTTTCATGAAGTCCTAAAGGCTTTCATATCAGGTCATAGGAGGCTTTTTCTGCCAGTTGGAATTGAGGGACACAATAGAAAAAAGTAAAGCATCTATATTAGTTTTTGATGTCTCAAATGCCTTTCATCTGGAAGGATCCTCCTCAGCAGAACTGGAATACAAGCACCTGTGGGATGGTGTGACGGAGTAGGGAGTGGGGTGGATTGACCTGGGAATGTTGTGTGGGAGTTTTACTGGGACTGTCTGCATTGGTGATGGGGATATCAGGGTGTGACTTCACTTGAGGGACGATACCTGAGCATGTAACCTGAGCCCAGGATGGGGATTGGGGCCAGGTGACACCTTTGCCTGGGAAACTGGACAAAGGCTGGAGGAGGAGCTGGGGGGAGGCTCGGTGAGACTGCTGGAGGGGGTTTTTCAGTTGGGAGTTGACTGGGGAAATGGAGGGAGCCCCAGGGTTGGGATCTAAGCTCCCTGTTCCCCAGATGGACCTGACTGAGGGGGTCCTGTTGTGTGTACCTACAAGCTCTGATTTGGACTGTGTTCCTGTCGTCTAATAAACCTTCTGTTTTACTGGCTGGCTGAGAGTCACGGTGAATCGCAGGAAGTGGGGGGTACAGGGCCCTGAGTCCCCCACAGATGGACAACAACAAAAAGGAGGAAGGGACTGGCCTGTTCAAAGTGCTCTTGGGATATTTATCATCTTGCAAGATATCACTATATGATGTAGAGCTGAGTTAGTACAATTGGGAATTTTCTACACGATTTAGGAAAGCTAGTGACTGTATTTGGTAGTAATTGGAAGCCGTTACTAACCAAAGGCTATTTTGTAGTCTATATGAAATGTGTTTGGTTTTCTTAGTGCATTACCTAGTGGACAGGGGCCTGATTCTTCATTGCTTTGCACCATGTGTAGTATTTACCCCCTGTTCAAAGTGGGTGTAAAACATTACCATAGCTTGCTGCTTCAATTTCCCCCATCTCTACCTTATTACACTGTTGTGAGTGTCAAGCTATTGCAGTGACTCCAGAGCATGAGTACCAACCTCAGGGCAGACTATTAAGAACCAGGGCACTAGACCCAAATTGATTGTGAATTCTATACTTGGATTTCACCAACCAGTTATCAAGTGGTAAGGCAATTCCCATCTTTTCATGTATTTATACCTGCTCCTGTATTTTCCACTCTATGCATCTGATTAAGTGGGTTCTAGCCCACAAAAGCTTATGCCCAAATAAATTTGTTAGTCTCTAAGGTGCCACAAGGACTCCTCGTTGTTTTTGCTGATACAGACTGACACGGCAACCACGCTGAAACCTGTCAACAATATTCAGGTTACTCCCAGTCCAAAGGACTAGTCATGTACCCAAGGTCAGTTGCACCTTAGATCTCATGCCAGAGACAATGCTTGTAACCAATCCTATAATAAATTATATACAGATTTATTAAAATATGAAAGGAAATAAGAGTTACTTACAAGGTTAAAGCAAATAAACAGATACACACAGATGAGTTGCAATCTTAAATTTCAAAAAGTAACAGAAGTTTCTATAATAAACAAGCTCTATATGTTTTATAGGGCTAATCCAGGCTAAGCAGCTGTGGGGACCTCTCACTTATGCCTAGAAAACCTCTCTCTATAGAGTCCAAGCAGCATAGATCTCCAGTTCCTTCTTATTAGGAGTTTTTATCTCCCTCATCCCTTGTTCTCTGAGCTGCAGACTCAGCTGAGGGGGGGAATCCACTTGCATGACTCATCTTCATGTGGGGAAGGGCAAAACAAATTTACGTTGTCCTCTTTAATGTCCCACAATAGTCCATCTGGTGTCACTGGACCTTCCGTGTTGGACAGGACATAACACCTTCTGTGGGAGACCACCATTTCACACTAGTTAATAAAAAGAAAAGGAGTACTTGTGGCACCTTAGAGACTAACCAATTTATTTGAGCATGAGCTTTCGTGAGCCACAGCTCACTTCATCAGATGTATACCGTGGAAACTGCAGCAGACTTTATATACACACAGAGAATATGAAACAATACCTCCTCCCACCCCACTGTCCTGCTGGTAATAGCTTATCTAAAGTGATCAACAGGTGGGCCATTTCCAGCACAAATCCAGGTTTTCTCACCCTCCACCCCCCCACACACAAATTCACTCTCCTGCTGGTGCTAGCCCATCCAAAGTGATAACTCTTTACATAATCAAGTCGGGCTATTTCCTGCATAGATCCAGGTTTTCTCACATCCCCCCCACCCCCATACACACACAAACTCACTCTCCTGCTGGTAATAGCTCATCTAAACTGACCACTCTCCAAGTTTAAATCCAAGTTAAACCAGAACATCGGGGGGGGGGGGGGGTAGGAAAAAACAAGAGGAAACAGGCTACCTTGCATAATGACTTAGCCACTCCCAGTCTCTATTTAAGCCTAAATTAATAGTATCCAATTTGCAAATGAATTCCAATTCAGCAGTTTCTCGCTGGAGTCTGGATTTGATGATGAGCTGTTACCAGCAGGAGAGTGAGTTTGTGTGTGTATGGGGGTGGGGGGGATGTGAGAAAACCTGGTTCTATGCAGGAAATAGCCCGACTTGATTATGTAAAGAGTTGTCACTTTGGATGGGCTAGCACCAGCAGGAGAGTGAATTTGTGTGGGGGGGTGGAGGGTGAGAAAACCTGGATTTGTGCTGGAAATGGCCCACCTGTTGATCACTTTAGATAAGCTATTACCAGCAGGACAGTGGGGTGGGAGGAGGTATTGTTTCATATTCTCTGTGTGTATATAAAGTCTGCTGCAATTTCCACGGTATACATCTGATGAAGTGAGCTGTGGCTCACGAAAGCTCATGCTCAAATAAATTGGTTAGTCTCTAAGGTGCCACAAGTACTCCTTTTCTTTTTGCGAATACAGACTAACACGGCTGTTCCTCTGAAACCTGACACTAGTTAATGTCTCTCTCTCCCCTGTCTGGTGATTTACAGAGGTTTACAATACAACTTCTCAAATATTACCTTACAATATGGGATACAGATGTTATAAGTGAGATTAATGCATGCAGCAGCTCACAAGCATTCAATAAAATCTAAACACATTCTTATAATTCTAATACCTATTTTAACAATACTAACAGCCAGACTGGCTCCAGCTATGTATCTGTCAATGTTCAGTTGAGACATGGGGACCTTAGTACGAGCTGGTACCTGGTCTGCCAGTGTCACAGTGAGCTTTAAAGTTTGCAGGCGATTTTGGATGAAGGGCAGTATAAAGTGCAAAGTGGATTTATTTATTTATGTTGTTTATAGATTAAACTGTTTCTTGGTTTGGGTGTACGGTCATAGATGGGAGAGGTGACCCTCCCAGCAGGTCAGCACCACTTGTAAAATAAATTAAAGTCTCATGCAGCTGCAAATGAATAAATAAAATTACTTTCAACGGTAACAATAGCAGCAACTCTTCTGTTCCTTTACGCGTGATGAAAAAGTATTTGAAGTAAACACTTAGTAATCACATCCAGTTTGTGAAAGTGTGTGGGAGAGACTTTTAAAAATGAATCTTTCAGGAAAGTAGTTGCAAGTTTTGAAACAATGGCAGCAAACATGAATAAAGGGATTTATTAGAAGGAACGTTAGTTTAAATTGATTAAATCTTGGCCATATATTTTGTTCTATATTTCAAGTCTAAACGGACCTCCCAAGCAAAATGAATATGACCTCTCAGTTTAATCTTAAAACCAAATTCTGCCCCCTCGTACCACTGCTCCGCTTCCATTAAGGTCAGTGGGAGATATACAAAGGTGTACGAGTATGCAGTTTGGTTCTATCTAGTCCTAACTTTCTGGACAATTTGTAAGTGTTGACACTTTCACATGGGGGAATCAAGATTAAGAAAGGGTCACTTTTTTCTCATTGTCTTGCTCTCTTAGATATTGAGGCCTGTCAAAGTTCTTAGCTGGCCTATTTCCCGGAATTTCTTCTATGACTGTGCTTTTGAATATAGCATAATTTAGTCCCATGATTTATAGCTTCAGGAAACTGAACTCAAACCCTGAAACTGAAATCTGATTTGTTTTTTCCACATGCATTTTGGTTTGTTATTGTAGGGTTGGTCACGGGTGCTGAGCTGTTGGTATTGATCCTTTTTAAAAAAAAAAATGCTTCACTGGTTTTAAAAAAAAAAAAGCGATTTTTAAAAATATCTCACAGTCACATGATGCTGATTGACAAATGGAGGGGAATGAATAGAAGATGGAAATTTGGGCCTTTTGGCTTTGAAAGTGATTTTTCAAGGGAGTTAGTGAAATATTAAAGCATTGTCTTTTTTTTTTTTTTTTTTTAACTGTGATTGATATGTTTTCTTTGTTTGCCAGGGCTCCACCTCAGATAAAACGTCCCAACCGAGAAGTTAAACCTTTGAGGAAAGAATCACCAGGATTGCAGCCGCGAGGGCCTGTGGGCAGAGCACACCCAATATCAAAAAGTGAAAAGCCTACCAGTAGCCGAGAGAGGGAATCTAGAGCTAAAGGGAGAGAGGACAAGGTAAAAACTGGGGAGGAGGGAGAGTTGTGTGTGCAGGGGGGAAGCATTTTTAAAAATAAATAAGCAAAAACTTAAGTTTTCCTGTGCAAGGGCAACGTGGAGGGTCTACATCAGATCGTGGACAAAGTGCATGTTAGAGTGATTCAGTTGTAATATTACCAAGCTGGGTACCACTTTAAACTCTCAGCGCTGTTTTTAATCAGGAAGGTTTTTTTTTATAACAGAACAGTTTACTGTAGCTTTATTTTTCTGCATGTTTCAGCAAGGTTATGGGCCTGATTCTAATCTCCTGTATAATAGTGTAAATCAGGAGTAAATTCTATTCAGTGTAAGAGGTCAGAATTGGGCCCTATTATAAAGTTTTCCAAGTAAAGAATATAGAAGTGAGACCAGTGAGATTCATTATATATTATGCATTTTTATTACGATTCTGCAGGATTTAAATTAAGATGAGTTAAAACAATTGAGATTGGTCTGTAAATTCTGCAGTGATCTACAAGTATTTACAAAAGTGTTTTTTAAGTATGTTCTTAACTAGAAGGTGGAGATATACCAAATGCATACAGATTAAAAAGACAGCCAAGCTTTTTAAATAATCCTATCATTAGGAAATTATTATTATAAATAACAAAACATTTAGAGGAAGATGTTTCTTTGAAAAGCGTTGTGGGGAAGACACAGTTGTCTGAATTAAAATGGGCTGGGAATTAAAGTTAGTTTTTTTAAAAGGTTTGTTGTAAAAAGAGAAACAATACTAGAGGAGAGAGAAGAAAGTAGGAACTGATTCACCAACATATAATTGTAGAAGACATTTCAAAAGGAATGCTTTTTGAGAAAGTAAGATGCATGTGTGAAAAATTGGGTGTTTATAACTGAAACTGCCTTACAACCTTAACTGTGGAGTCACTATCAGGAAACCATGGTATAAAGCAGTGATACGCAGAACTCAGTGGTTCAGGAGCCAAATTACCCAAAAGAGCCACAGTAGTGTGAATTTATTGTGGTGTTTACTACTATTCATAGTACTATTCATATTTAAACAGTCTGACAGGGGAAATACTTAGTTTTTATATACATATATAGTATTCGCACAGCAAATAAGTTAATAACTTAATTGGTTAACATATTAAAAGCATCCTGATTGGTTAATAACTTAGAGGGGTTAATAATTAAATCACACAGTGTTTTAATATTATGTGCTGCAAAGAGCCGCAGGAGACATGTTAAAGAGCCTCTTGTGGCTCACGGGTCGCAGTCTGAGTATCACTGGTATAAACAGTGCAGGACTGGAGCATAATGAGATGGCTTTATTTTTGTGAGATACGCAATCTTACCTATTTGGAGCTCGTGGTATAATACAGGTTGTGATTGGTGAGTTAGAAAATATTTTGGTAAGTTTTCATAGCTACACACTAAATATTCAAGAATGAGAAAGGACTTAAAGGGAAGAATCCAGCTCTGTCAAGGGATAGACAAAAGTGATCTTTGTATCAGTCATTTTTGATTCTGCGGAAGAGGGTATTAAGCAACACTAGTCCTCCTTGTCACTGGTTGTTTGGATATAGTCTTCTAGCAGTGCCACTGAATAAACTTCAAATAAACTTTGAAATGTAAAGTTGAATCATTTTAGAAATCTCTCTCTGCATGCTTAGAACAGCAAGATTTACAATAACAAGGGAACACTCTGCAAGCTATAAAAAGCTTTTCAAGAACGGTGAAAATTGTTTACAGTTCTGCTAGTGAAATGAGGAACTAGAATCATGTTGTGTGACCAGTTTAATACACCAGGCACGTATACATTCAAGTCTTGACTCTAATGAGGGTAAAACCATGCACTCTAAAGTTTCCTGTAAGGAGCATGATAAGGCTTTACTATGGAGGAGCCCGTGCTGGTACTACTTCTAGGACAGTAATTATCTGTGGGAGTAATACTACTACTAATCCTCATCAGGGAAGCCAGATGGAGAAGTTTCATAAATAGAAATATATTTCTATAGTACTTAACATTTTAAAATAGATTTTATCTGAATATTTTAAAAAAAACTTCTCATAGTTTACATTAATACCTAATATAAGCAAGAACTTAGATTTCTCCTACCAGTTTTATCCTTGTCCACTAATAAGCATTGATGTCATGTAGTGTTTGGAATGGGGCTGAAATTAGCACACTTCTTTTTGTCAGCACGTCAGTTGACATGAGATCAGTTACTGCTTATGTTCCATTTATTTTTAAATGTTACTGGGAGTAGGGCACATGTTGAATTAAATTCTGTTGGCTGTTCCATAGGCACTTGTTGCTATATATCATGCTGCTCTACAGCATGCAGAGAGATTTCTAAAATGATTGAATGTTGTGTTTTAAAGGGGATTTTTTTGGTTGCCTGGCCAGGTCTTGCTAGAAGTTGTAAAGATAAGATTCTCATCCACTAAGACATTGGTTGCAATGTGGCTGGTTGTAGCTTGTGCTGGGTATGCTAATGACGATATATAGATATAAATGCTCCCTTTTCTGGATTTGTAGCCAGAACAACCATCTCATCTTATGGGTTTGCAACCATCCTTGTCCCAAGCCATGTAACAACCTCTTCAATCTGATTGTAAGCAGGGTCATGGAGTTTGTCCTTTCTTTGCCTGTAAAGTAATATGCATGTTTATGGTGCTACATAATTAATCATTTTAATTAATACTATCCCACTCCGCTGGTGCTTATGCACTAGCACCCTTTTAAAATGCTGTTTCCCAAGTGTTGGTTTTTTTTTTCTTTCTCTGCTGCCCTGAAAGCCTCGAGGCTGGTTGTTGTGGTGCCCCCCGCTGGAATATTGTCAGGAATTTCAGCCTTTCAACCCAGCGGCTTATTTTAAATAGGCAATATGTGTATGTTACTAAGGTTGTATAATGCCCCGTGAGTACCCTAGGAGAATGTTTGGGAGTACTCTGAAAATTAGATGAGTGTCTTCTAATAGGGGAGCCACCACAAAGCCATGCAGAACAGTTCTATCAACTTAATGCTATAAAAGGAGATGCTGTTATGCCTGGAAAAGTATTCAGAACCACCCACGAATGTATAACTCAACCCTTATTTGGGCAACTAATCCTTAAATCTGTGAATAATACTATTTACGTTAATAATGGAGCTACTTGCAAGACTAGTGATTAATCACCCAAGTAAGGGCATCAGAATTGGATTTATTTGTAACTACTATTAATCATTTTGTTGCATGTGAAAACTATAAATATTTTAAATCTTACTTTATTTCAGTTGTAGATAAGTAATAAAATGCCCTGTTCTACAGCTTGAGTGTCAATTTGGCAGAGCTTCTATTTTTGAGGGTTTATTAATTTCATTTTTTGGAGTTTATTTTTTAGCAATTTCTGAGTTTTATGTAGTGTCCAAAGAATCAGGGTTTTTCAGGGCTCTTTGTATATTCTGTAATGAGTAATGTATGCAATATACATTGTAATGTAATGCATAATCTCTTTGTAAGGTTCCCTAGTGAACTTTAATGTAGTACTGTTTCAACCAGCACTACCGTTAAGTGCATTAGGGAACTTCTAGAGTGCACCAGCAGGGTCTAAACAGGCCAATTAATGTGCAACACATAAGTGTGCTTTAGAAATTACACCCCTGTTGTCCTCATAATTGCTCCATGTAGACGAGCCCTTAAGTAACCCTTTCCAGTGTCTTTCCATTGTTTATTGGGTAAACACTGATTTCATTTTTATTTTGTTACACCCCCACCACCATCCATTTCAGGAAGGGTTTACTCAATACCTTCCCACCAGTATTCAAGCCCAGATCCCTGAGGGACCTTAATCTCGTTATCTCTGCTCTGACAAAGCCACTGGCAATGTGCTCCCTCTCCCACCTCTCCATGAAAGTGATATTCTCGGTAGCCATTACCTCAGTTAGATGGGTCAGTGAACTGGCGGCCATGATTGCAGACCTCCCTTACACTGTATTCCACAAGGACAAAGTGTCCTTACAGCCACACCCTAAATTCCTCCCAAAAGTAGTGTCGAAGTTCCACCTAAATCATTGCATCTACCTACCTGTTTTCTGCCCCAAACCACACCCCTCCCATGTGGACAGGGTCCTGCACTCCCTTGATGTCTGCTGTGCACTGGCATTTTACCTCCACGGGACTCGGTCCTTTCGCACATCACCAAAACTATTTGTGGCCATTGCTCACCAATCCAAGGGCCAAACCCTCTTCTCCTAATGAATCTCCAATTCAGTCTCTGGGTTTATCTGTGAATGCAACACACAATCCAACATTCCCCCACCCAATGGAGTCACACTAGTCTGCCTTGCTGATATCTCATGGCACGAGATCTGTAGTGCAGCTACCTGGCGCTCCATCCACATGTTCACGGCCCACTATGCCATCACACGAGCGATGGGTATGGAGGTTGCTGTAGACCAAGCAGTACTGCAGACTGTATTATATTTCAACACTGCTCACTAATCACCCACGTATGGCATACGTATAGGGACCATCACTCGAAGAAGAGGAAGTTACTTAACTGGAGGTTCTTTGAAATGTGTGGTCCCTATTTATATTCCAATACCCACGCTCAAGTCCTCTGCTGCGGGCGAGACTGCACAACAGTAAGAGGGACCCTGGTGAGGCATTGACCCAGCTGACCTATTATATCCTTGGCTGCAAGCATGAGGGGATGCACTACACTTGTGCAGGTCACCAGACACTGCTAAGAAACACTTCCAGTCTCAGGGGCATGGTGTGACCAATGTATGGAATATAAATAGGGACCACACATCTTGAAGAACCTCCAGTTACAGGAAGTATCCTCCATTTTTCACCAGGACTAAGATTGTCAAAATGTCTGCAAAGTGGCATTTAGTTCAAAACTAACTCTATGGCTTCAGGAAATACAAATGAGTTATGTCAGAACAGATTGTTTATAACATGACACTGTTTAAAAAATAAGATCTGCTGTGGAGGCAAATTTTCAGATGTGATTGTTTAGTTTATAAAAATTATTTATCATATAAATGAATGCATACAATTGAGAAGGCTTGTTATGCTAGAAGGTTGCCAACTTGTGAAAGCTGTGCGTAAGAGGACCATGAAGTGGAGATGAGAGCCTGTAGCATTCTTATATTTTATTTTTATTTGGTATAAGATTGATTTACTTATGCAGTTATTTTCAGACAGTACTTGTAGTATCCTTACAAATCCCTTTGTTCATGTTTTTCCTTTTATGCTGCCACCCTGTGATTGTTTGTAGTAATTACATGGTTATGTAATGGTCTTAGTGCGAGTGGATAAATAAAGTTGTTGGCATGCTCCCAGCACGCAGCAGCTGGGCGGATGGCTCTCTGGCGTTGTCTGTTTTTTGTTTTCACTACATAGATCTCACATTATCTTCTGCAGTATTTTGTTTGTGTGCCATCTTTTTGCATAGCAATAATGTACACTCTGGTTTGCCCAAATGTTGGAGCACACCTCAGATATGTTGTTCAGCCCTGCTGCTTTCTTTCACCTTTGCAGTGCACCAATAGCCTATTGAAGTATCCCTTGGCTTACTGCTATTAAAGCTTGGCTTAATTTTGTTTCAATTTAAAAATTCTCTTAAAATCAGCTTTTCAGGGTGCAGCAAATCCTTCCACTGTAAAAAGAAACCCCCCTAGCTCATTATAGGGGGATAAGAGAGAATTCAGTGTCAGAGAGAGTCTGCAAACACCTTTTTGTCACTGTGAATACTGTTCTTATTTTTGCTTTGATAGATAGGTAGGTAACTCCTGTCTTTTAAAATCTTTTCAACACTATGGGTCCCTTCTCATTGTTCCTTTTCTTCCTGACTGTGTCGTTTTGACAGCAGTTTCTGGTCCCAGTGCAACTTTCAACTTGCTGGCTATTATGGGTTCAGTTTTGTAATAAAAGTGAGAGTTGAAAGAAGCTAGAAGGGCACAGACAGCTCCCTGAAGGGCATGTGGGTTAATGGGCAAAGGGAGGAGGCATTGTTAACTGCCCTTTTCTCCTCTGCTAGCTCATTTGTCTCTCTGGCTCCCTCTTCCTATGCTGCCTCTGTCCACTTTGCCATAGGCTGCTTTTCTGAGGCAGCTGGGGTACTTTAACTTTGTTAGTAGTATTTAGAGGCTGTGTTAGGAACTCTAAACCAGCTTCCAATTTAGCCTAGTTCAGTTAAAAGCAATGCAGCTGCTCCTCAGGCTCCACTTAGCCCTGCTGTTGGGCTGGGAGGGGAAGTACATTCCTATTGAAGTGTTAGAGGAGGAGAATTAGAAGTGTTGCTTCAGAGGAAAGATGTTGCGTCACCCATAAGATCAGCAGAGCTGTGGAACTACTAACTTGGGAGTTTATGATCAGTTTGGGGCTGAGGCTGTTTTATCTAATTGTGGGACAGTTCTGAACACACCAGATGCTCCTGTAATTAAAACAATAATTAGGCTCAAATGTAGGGTTGCCAGCTTTCTAGTTTCTGAAAACTGGATGCCCCTGTTCCGCCTCTTCCCCCAGGCTCTTCTACCCCCGTTGCTTTCCCCCTCAACTCCAGTGTGAGTTGCCCCAAGAGACTTGCAAATCCCAGCTCCAGCAGGCGGCCTGGGAATTCAGGTAGCAGAGAGCTGCAGCCGTGTGGAAGCAGCCAGGCAGCCGCACTGGTGAGCTAGGATGCAGCAGTCCTGCATGGCAGCCTCCCGCCTCCTTCTGCGTGGCTTGCCCAGCAGCCCCCTCCCCTGCTCGCTTGAGCCCTTGCCACCCTGGAGTTGCCTTAGCGTGGCCGGGGGAAGCACTGGCTGGCGGGGCAGCTTTCTTTGCTTCCCTCCCACAGAACATTCTGTGTCCACTGGGAGCCCTTTAACCTGCTTGCGATGGGCCCCCACACCTGTCCTCCGCCACAGTCCTGCAAACTGTGCTCCTCAAAGGGGCAACAAGACTACCCCTCTCCTCCCCCCTCACGGTAACTGGACTTTCCATCAAAAAAGGTTGCCAACTCTGGCTGAAGCTATTCCAGGAGATTTTTTTCCCAACATGTTGTAATGTCATTTTCTTAAAATAGCCTATTAAAATCTCCCGGACTGCTTTCAATAGTCACTGGGAGATCGAGGCCGATTCTGGGAGACTCCAGGCCAATCCTGGAGGACTGGCAACCCCAGACTCCTGACAACTCTATTTTAGGGCTCCTAATGCAGCCCTTTAAATGAACTTTAAAGTATCCTGACCGTGTGGGGGATTGTGTTGTGAGACAGAGAAAGGGAATAGGAAATAGACAATTGTTGGAGTTGGGGAAGAGAAGCAGCCAAGCAGGGAAGACCTTTTCTTTAAGTCCCGACTATATTGAAATAAATAAATAAAATATATATCCGTTAAAAACAAGGCAGAAAAAAATCTTATTTCTCCCATCAAAGAGAACAGGTATAGGGATACATCCGATGAAGTGAGCTGTAGCTCACGAAAGCTTATTCTCAAATAAATGTGTTAGTCTCTAAGGTGCCACAAGTCCTCCTTTTCTTTTTGCGGATACAGACTAACACGGCTGCTACTCTGAAACCTGTCATTATTGCTACTAGTTTGTAAATTAAAAAAAAAAAACATTTAAACTGATTTTGGGATCGAGGTAACACCCCTTTATGAAAGACGTGGGACTCTATAGCCCATTCTGTTGGACTGGCGATAGTGACAAGTATCCGGAGACCATGGAGATAAAATGTGAAAAGATTGTGCTTCCTTGCCTGTTGCAGGAATGAGACAGCCCACAGTTCTGTGTAAAAATCTGAAATTTCTCTTGGCTTAAACATAGTAGCAACTGAACAATTTTACTCTATGATTCAAATCTTGGAGCTGTTCAAAGTAAAAGTTTCATTATAGACTCCTGTGATTTCTTAACGTTCCTAGGGAAAGAAAATTCCACAGGAAGGTGCTGGTGATGGGGAAATTCAGAAATTTGATGGAGCAGGATATGATAAAGACCTGGTTGAAGCACTGGAAAGGGACATTGTATCAAGAAATCCAAGCATTCATTGGTATGAGAATTTTCTCAATTAAATTCTTTAGCCAGGTTGGAGGGGAAAGAGCATGTCCTCTCATTAAATTGGGACCTTAACTCTTTTAAAATGGCAAACAGCCAAATGGCAAACAGCCATTTCCAAATAGGGGAAACAAGCTTCTGGTTCTAATCGCATACTAATTTGATTGCTGAGTAAGACTTTCATTCTTAACCAGTATGATATGCAAAATGTCCATTACAAGTACCTACTCAAAAGCCTAACTGCACCCCAGAGAACATTAAAAGTATTGTTTTGATGATCACCAGGGATCCTAGAAATCCATTTGCAATGGGGGAAAAACAAGGAAAACCATGGATTTTGCGTTTTCACAGAGAATCTTTAGTTTTTACATTTTGTGAAAAAGTAAAAACATATATTAACTGTTAACTATATTTTACTGAAAGTACCAGTGTCACTTATTCAGTGTGTGCAACCTCCCCCTCTTGTGGTTGATTTTTGAATGCGCTTTAAATTTACAGTGGAACCCTGTTTATCTGATCTAATTGGGACCAGGGCCAGATTGGATAATCAAGAGAATTTGCAAGAGTTTCCTACCCTTATTTCGATCCCAAGCTGCTGATGGTTCGATTAATATGGAGAGCCAGATAATGGAGGCTTGGCTAAACAGGATTCTACTGTATATCAATAAAACATGGTGTTCAGCTGATACCTATATGTACTGAGGGTAGTTCAGCGTTTCATTTGAATCAAGGAAAACCACAGATATTTGATTCTTTATTAGAGAGTTTTGGTCTTTTTAACATGGAAAATTAGGGTCCCTGATGATCACGTGAGCCAAAACAATTTTTAATTGAGTATCCTAGTAACCTTAGCTGAAAGTAATTTTTTTCCTGCCTTTCACAGGAGAGGTCAACGTAAGGCCACAGATTTATAGCAATGGTCTCAATAGGAACATACTGGCATAATAAAAAGGATAGTGGTACACACAATACTTTTCTCTGTTTTTCATGGCTTAAAAACAAAGTGAAATGTTATGCTTTGTAAATTTGTCCTGGTCTTTTGCAGGGATGACATAGCAGATTTGGAAGAAGCCAAGAAACTATTAAGGGAAGCGGTTGTTCTGCCGATGTGGATGCCTGATTTTTTCAAAGGGATCAGAAGGCCTTGGAAGGTGAGAATGCACGACCACGTTCTCCAGACTGGTCATGGCGCTTTCATGTATGTCAAGTTGTATCTACATGAGCGTAGCATCGTATGCTCATGCTTCCTTACACTGATGGTATACTGTAGTATGTATAGCTATTAGACTGCCGTAATAGCCTAAAATACACATTTATTTAGCAAAGATGGATAATTGTTTAATTATAATAAATGTGGGATTGATCCAGAGTAGCTGGGCCTCAGTAAGTGGGAGCCCAATTTGGATCTGGTTCACAACTTGAAAAAAAAAAATTGTTGAGGAAGCATGTGAGCTGCTGTGTAAACAGAAAATGAAATGACCTAGCTTTTGGTTCGGGACTGATTGTCCCTTATTCAGCGAATGACTTACGATACAGTTGTGGAAAAGAAGCCCTTGAGGAATTCCACCATGATTTCAATAATTTCCATCCCACCATCAACCTCAGCCTGGACCACTCCACACAAGAGATCCACTTCCTGGACACTACGGTGCTAATAAGCGATGGTCACATAAACACCACGCTATACCAGAAACCTACTGACCGCTATTCCTACCTACATACCTCCAGCTTTCATCCAGACCACACCACACAATCCGTTGTCTACAGCCAAGCTCTACGGTACAACCGCATTTGTTCCAACTCCTCAGACAGAGACAAACACCTACAAGATCTCTATCAAGCGTTCTTACAATTACAATACTCACCTGCTGAAGTGAAGAAACAGATTGACGGAGCCAGAAGAGTACCCAGAAGTCACCTACTACAGGGCAGGCCCAACAAAGAAAATAACAGAACGCCACTAGCCATCACCTTCAGCCCCCAACTAAAACCTCTCCAGCGCCTCATCAAGGATCTATAACCTATCCTGAAGGATGACCCATCACTCTCACAGATCTTGGTAGACAGGCCAGTCCTTGCTTACAGACAGCCCCCCAACCCGAAGCAAATACTCACCAGCAACCATACAACAGAACCACTAACCCAGGAACCTATCCTTGCAACAAAGCCCGTTGCCAACTGTGTCCACATATCTATTCAGGGGACACCATCATAGGGCCTAATCACATCAACCACACTATCAGAGGCTCGTTCACCTGCACATCTACCAATGTGATATATGCCATCATGTGCCAGCAATGCCCCTCTGCCATGTACATTGGCCAAACTGGACAGTCTCTACGTAAAAGAATAAATGGACACAAATCAGACGTCAAGAATTATAAATTCAAAAACCAGTCAGAGAACACTTCAATTTCTCTGGTCACTCGATTACAGACCTAAAACTGGCAATTCTTCAACAAAAAAACTTCAAAAACAGACTCCAATGAGAGACTGCTGAATTGGAATTAATTTGCAAACTGGATACAATTAATTTAGGCTTGAATAAAGACTGGGAGTGGATGGGTCATTACACAAAGTAAAACTATTTCCCCATGTTTATTTCCCCACCCCCCACTGTTCCTCAGACTTTCTTGTCAACTGCTGGAAATGGCCTACCTTGATTATCACTACAAAAGGGTCCTCCTCCCCCCACCGCCCTCCTGCTGGTAATAGCTCACCTTACCTGATCACTCTCCTTACAGTGTGTATGGTAACACCCATTGTTTCATGTTCTCTGTGTATATAAATCTCCCCACTGTATTTTCCACTGAATGCATCTAATGAAGTGAGCTGTAGCTCACAAAAGCTTATGCTCAAATAAATTTGTTAGTCCCTAAGGTGCCACAAGTACTCCTTTTCTTTTTGCGGATACAGAGTAACACGGCTGCTACTCTAAAAGTTGCGGGCTTGTCACTTCATTGAGTTAGTTATGATGATGAAGTCCAGGAAGATATTTCCTATTGAATATCCTCTTTATGGCCCTGATTCAGCAAAGCTCTTAAGCATGTGATTAATGTTAAATACATGAGCAGTCCCAGTACTTAAGGCCCAGATTCAGCAGTGTACTTAAGCACATATTTGTTCTAAATACCTAACCAGTTAGTAGTTAGGGTGGCATTGTGGCTTCCCTTTCATGGCTGGAGCTTTTCTTCTTCACTTTGCCCTGTGGGAGAAGCAGACAGAATGTGGCTGTTAACCCTCTCTAAGCAGACTCGTGTGCCGGTGGTCCTGTGTGGGGAGGGCAAGGCCCCTCTTCCCTCCTAAACCCATTGGTGCTCATAGGCCAGCACTCTTCCTGACTAAACATAGGTGTCATGCATTTGCAGCCATCACTTTCTGAACATCCAAGAGTGGTTGTTTCCTTTCTCTGACCTGCGTTTGTGCCAAGAGGGTCCTGTCTTTAGTTGGGCATCCCACTGCTCCACTAGTGGTATTTAACCCTGCAGTGATTTCATCAAACCACTTAAGCCCTGCAGTGCATATTAGCTTCTTATTGGGAAACACTGGATCAACAGAGCCAAAGAGGAAGAGTAAAGAAGGCTTTATGTTTATAAAAGTTTTTAACTAGTCAGGTTTCAGAGGAACAGCCGTGTTAGTCTGTATTCGCAAAAAGAAAAGGAGTACTTGTGGCACCTTAGAGACTAACCAATTTATTTGAGCATGAGCTTTCGTGAGCTACAGCTCACTTCATCAGATGTGTGTATATATATACACACATCTGATGAAGTGAGCTGTAGCTCACGAAAGCTCATGCTCAAATAAATTGGTTAGTCTCTAAGGTGCCACAAGTACTCCTTTTCTTTTAACTAGTCAGTAACTGCCAGGCTCATAGGTTGTATAGAGAGAAAGCAGCTCGTACTTCCCCCTCATTCCCCCTTGTGCATCTCTCTAGCTTAGCTAGCAATTCAGGCTCACATTGTGCACTGATCCTTATATCTTGTGCATCCCCAGTTGACGACATTCTCCCACTGCTTTGAACCCTATGAGGTCATTCACACCTGTGCAAAGTGAATGTAAAATGCTACCATTCCTACTTGGTAATGTTACACCCTGTTTACATAGGGATAAATGATGACACAAGGTGTAAGACAGTGAGCAGTTAGGCCCCTTGAATTCATTGGCATTGAATGGGGTATATTTCAAGACAGAACTTGGCCCTCTGTATCGCTATTCATTTTAAGACTGAAGCCTTGTCTAGAGTGGGTTTTTAGCCTCCAGTTTAGCCAGACTGGTGCAAACCCCTAACGTGAACACAACATGCACAGGTACAGTGTGATTTGAACTGGGGTAGTTTAGCTCTGCTTTCAATCCAAGGTCAGCGCTGATGCAAATCAAGTTGCACCAGTGTAAACCATGAGGTTAATAGATTTTAACTCCAGAAGGGATCATTGATCATCTAGCCTGACCTCCTGTATGTTCAGTACCCTCTCGTTATAACAAACCCCTCAGGATCCACACCATTCGTTTGTTAGAGCCAGGGGTTTGTTATAGCAAAAGAGCTCTTCCAGCACAGGGACTGCGGCTCGAGGTGGGATCCAGGGGCTGGGTTCGCTACTGTGAAGAGAGTTATAGCAAGGACGTACTGTACAGGCCACAGAATTGTATCTAGTTACCCCTGTGTACACCATGGTCCTCCACTAGTATTGCTGTACGGGTGGAATTCTAGCAGGGACTAACATTCCAGTGTAGACCATGCCTGGATGAACTTGCAGAACAGGAGTCCATTTATCTCTTATAGTTGCTGCCTGGGAGTTTAGGATAACTTTGGCATCCTTATAAAGAGAGGTGGGGTGTCAGCTCTCTGGAAGGAATATGATCGTTTGTAATTTAATTTACCGATGAATGTCTGTGGGAGCTTGCAATAGCTAAGTGTTAAATGGCAATAAAGGTATTAATGGTTAATGGAAAATGTAGGCACAGAGAGGCTATTGCTCTTGATGGGCATGGGGAAAAACATTTTTGAATAATTGTATTCCCGGTTGATTTGTTTTTATAGATTTCTTCCATGTCATTCTTTGTGCTCCTTGTGGTAAATTTTGTGTAGAACAGACACAATTTAATTTGCAGCATGGATAGCGTTTAATAGATATTTTATTGTTGTGGTATTTTATGTAAGATATTAATTGCAAAGCACATTATGATGTGCAAATCTAATTCCAGCTCATTTGATTACCCTTGAAACACGGTATGACTTTACCTTAGTAAACTCTTGTTAGTATGAAATCAAATCTTGCATTTGCAAAAGAAAGCTGCTCAGAAAGCTGCCATATTCGTGACAGAAGAGTATTTGGAATCTCCGTATTTCTTCTTGTCCTTTCTGGGTGGGGAAAACATTGTGTCTTTCATTACCACGATGGCTGCGGGAGGCCCACAGTTTGGAAAGCAGATTTTCAAAGTGTCTTGATGAATTCTATTTAAAGTAATTAATTAATTATCAAGTATTACTCCCCTCCTTGGGGCAGTTCTAACCCTACTAGAGAAGGGGAAATGGTCGTTACCACCACTCATTTTCAGGAACTCTTGACATGAGAGGCCTTTTAAAAACTAATGCCTTTCTTCAGTCAAGACGATTAGCAATCCCACCATGGACGCCTAATTTGGGCCCTGAGAACTTTCTGTCCATCCATAATATCTTGTACACTTCAGTGAACAAACAGGCACTGATGTAGAGGAGACTAGTGCTCTCCCACCTTGCCCTCTCTTTTACCTGGATGGGAGATGGAAGGATGGTTAGGCCACTAGCCTGGGACTTGGGAGAACTGGGTTCATTTATCTGCTGTGCCATGGACTTCCTGTGCGATCTTGGGCCAGTCACTTAGCCTCTCTGTGCCTCAGTTCCGTCTCTGTACAGTGGGGATAATAGTCCTTCCCTACCTGATAGAGGTGCTGTGAGGATAAATACAGTAGATTTTGAGACATTCAGATACTGTGGTAATGGGGGCCATGTTAGTACCTTAGTAAGAATAAATAACATGAGAAACCCACATATGCAATTAATGGTTTTAGTGAAACGAGTGCTTGGGAACAAAAAGGAGGCCCAGGCATATGGCAGAGTTATGTTTTTAAGCAATTAAAATGCAGAACTTAGGTCACATTTAGATCTAGTGCAACTCAGCTGATCTCTGTGGATTAGCATTTTGCTTACATCAGGGCTGAATTTGGGGGTCTCATCTTGTCATTTATTTATTACTCTGTATGGAATTTTAGGGTGTTCTGATGGTTGGCCCCCCTGGGACTGGCAAAACCATGCTAGCAAAAGCCGTTGCTACGGAATGTGGGACAACATTCTTCAACGTTTCCTCCTCCACTCTGACGTCCAAATACAGGGGCGAGTCTGAGAAGCTAGTCCGCCTGTTGTTTGAAATGGTAAGTCCTCAATGCTAGGGGCTTTTGTTGGTTTATCAAGCCCCTCACAGCACATTGTTGCAGGATTGAGTTCACTATCCCTGAAACCTCTCCAGTGGATGGGTGTGCACGCTTATATAGCAGGCCCTTCTTGATCATAGAATCATAGAATATCAGGGTTGGAAGGGACCTCAAGAGGTCATCTAGTCCAACCCCCTGCTCAGAGCAGGACCAATCCCCAATTTTTGTCCCAGATCCCTAAATGGCCCCCTCAAGGATTGAACTCACAACCCTGGGTTTAGCAGGCCAATGCTCAAACCACTGAGCTATCCCTCCCCCCAAAATGTATTTTGTATGATGTATTTTTGAGGATTGTGGAGTAAATTACCCTTGTTTCTAGAAGCAAAATGTGTTTCATCTATTTTCTCTGTTCCAAACTGAAGGTTGGTTTCTGAAAATCAAGGGCCAGATCCTGAACTGCAGCTGAGAAATATTTACACACAGTCTCACCCCAGGAACTGTGCTGTGTGTGTGTGTGCGCGCAAATATGCCATTTACCCTCTCCTCATCCTTATTTGCTTCTGCATTTCCAAGATGGTGCCCATTAAAACACCTTGCGATTTTTAGATAGACTGGAAACTGAATCTTCCCTCCCCTCCCAACCTTTGCCTTCACAAGAAGCACAATATGTATATTACAAATAGTATATTTTGATTGATCCCCCACCTCCTTTGCAGGATCAAGACCTAAGAAAACAATGGTCAGATGTAGAATAATCGCTATCGGTCCTCATCCTCAAAGGAAAACTGCACAACACTTTCCAAAGATGAGCCTGGGAGCTTGTGATATACCCAGGGTACAATCTAGTCCAGGGTTGGCCAGCCTGTGGCTCTGGAGCCACATGGGGCTCTTCAGAAGTTAATATGCGGCTCCTTGTATAGGCACCGACTCCGGGGCTGGAGCTACAGGCGCCAACTTTCCAATGTACCGGGGGGTGCTCACTGCTCAACGCCTGGCTCTGCCACGGGCCTTGCCCCCACTCCACCCCTTCCCGCCCCCTCCCTTGAGCCTGCAGTGCCCTCGCTCCTCCCTCCCAGAGCCTCCTGCACCCCACAAAACAGCTGATCGGGAGGGAGGGGGTGGTGCTGATTGGTGGGGCTGCCAGTGGGTGGGAGGTGCTGGGAGTGGAGGGGGGAGCTGATGTGGGGCTGCTGATGTATTACTGTGGCTCTTTGGCAATGTACATTGTTAAATTCTGGTTCCTTCTCAGGCTCAAGTTGGCCACCCCGATCTAGTCTAATGAGTATCTGTGTCTCCCTTGTCCTATAATCTTTAAACTGATTTGCTGCTGTAGCCTCTAGTCTGGACTGCTCACAAACAGCCTCCCGCATGCAAGTCACTGCCTGCTATGTCTGCGTGTGTGTGCTGCAGGGTGACCTCAGCCCACTCCCTGTCTTAAATTCCCCCCCTCCCCCCCCCAGAGATATGTGTCCTGTACTGCCCAGCCCTCTCCTGGACAATACAAGTATGTTAAGTCCCCCCCTTTTTTTAAAAAGATGATGATATACCAGCTTGGTATTTCAGATAGTTCTTCAGACACCTCAATTTAAACATACTGGATTAGATAAAACCGTAAAACAAGTTTATTAACTACAAAGAGAGATTTTAAGTGAATACAAGTAATGAGGCATAAAAGTCAGAAGTGGTTATTAGAAAAATAAAGATAAAACACAACTAGCGCCTTAACTATGTTAAATGCAAAGCAAAGGTTTTCTCACCACATGCTCTCAACAGACTTACTGGCCGAACTTCTTAGGCCAGGACCCCTTCTTCTGTTTAATGGCTGCTTCCTTTGTCTCTTCTCGTGCAGTGAATTGATGGGCAGAAAGAGAGGGAGGAGACAGGGTGCCTTGGGGTGTTTGTCCCCCTTTTCTGTAGTGTCAGCCCCCCATTTGGAAAACATTTCCAGCTGAGATTCGGGAGACAGAGAGTCTACAGAAAGGGATCTTCCCAGCTGCTCTTCTTCACCCATTGGAGCTTCTTTTGTTGTCCTTCCTGCTTGATGACTTTGTTTAGTTCTTAAATGCAGATTAAGCAGAGCACATTCTTTTGTTTGAGACAGACCTGTTGCCACCTCAGTTTGGAACATGTGTTAATAACAACATACAGGGAAATTTTCAAGGGCGGCGGGTCACATAGGCTGGGGGCAGCTCAGCCTCCCCAAACAGCCAGGCATGACCCCGCCCCCTGCCATAACTGCTCCCTGCCTGTGGCTCCAGTTCTCCGGCTCCAGCACCCCAGTGCTCCGCTGGTGGGGCTGGGGCCCCGCAATGCCCGCCTTCCCGTGCTCCTGAGCTGAGGAGGCTGCGGCTGGCGGCCACCCACTGTGCCAGGGAGGCTGGGGTTGCCCGCCTTCCTGGTGCTCCGGGGATGGGGAGGCTGGGGCCATGCATCGCCCGCCCTCACGGCGCTCCTTTGGGGTTAGGGGGCTAGCTGTGGCCATGGCTGGGGTGCGTGGAAGGGAGGGCTCAGCTCTGGTGGGGGATGGAAGGGGTGGGGCCTTGGTCAGAAGAGGTGGGGCTAGGGGTTAGCCTCCCCCAGCCGGCGGTTCATGCGCTGCCCATGGAAATCTTATAACTGCACATTCAGTGTTGCCGCACATTTTATCAGGACAGCATTGACGAGCAAATTGAGTCTTCAAATGATACCTTACAAGGCATACTTTGTATAAAGATTATTACAACAGTGTGTAGGGTGTGGACACAGGTACATTCTGTCACAAAGCTGAAATTCATTACTCTGCTAGTGGCTAAAAATCATGAACTGAACAGACACACTGGATTTATGGTTTATTACAACAATCCGTAACCCACTAACCACCCCTCCCCTTTTTGTCTTATGACTGCAGAGGTGTTAATGGGCCACTCTACCTTGAATGGTCCCTTAGAATTAGGGTGACCAGATGTCCTGTTTTTAAAGGGACAGTCCCGTTTTTTCGGACTTTTTCTTATATAGGCACCTATTACCCCCACCCCCTGTTGCATTTTTTCACAGTTGCTATCTGGTCACCCTACTTAAAATACATGCTAAAGAATCTGTTCCACCTTGTATTTAGCTGTGCCATTTGGAGTACCTTTCCCGGACCCAAAGAGCTGTGTGTTGCTCAAAAGCTTGTCTCTCCCACCAACAGAAGTTGGGCTGGTAAAAGATAATCCCTCACCCAGCTTGTCTGTCTAATATCCTCAGACTGACACAGCTACAACTACACTGCATACAAGAAAACAAGTAACACACACAGAGTTCTGCGCATGCTTAACTTTCGGCACTTGTGAAAGTTAACCATTGACTTCAGTGGTACGACTGTGTGTGTGTGTGTGTGTGTGTGTGTGTGTGTGTAAAGTTTGGCACATGTGGAAGTCTTTGCAAGGTTAGGATCTTAGATGAATTTTTCTGTGCCCGGGACATATCTTCCAGTTATTCAGCACCTAGCACAATAGGGCCTGAAGTCTGACTGGAGCTTGTGCTTGCGACTGCAATCTAAGTAATTGTATTTTCACTTCAATAAAGGCAAGGTTTTATGCGCCAACAACAATCTTCATTGATGAAATCGATTCCATCTGCAGCCGCAGAGGCACTTCCGACGAACATGAAGCAAGTCGCAGGGTCAAGTCGGAGCTGCTTGTTCAGATGGACGGTAATTGGCGTTTAGATACCTCAGAGTGGAGCTGCTGTTTCTCTTCTGGTTTTGTGACATGCTTTGTAGACACTTCATTGTTCAGAAATGAGTAGAGCTGGCAGAAAACAACCACCTCTTTTATTGGGGGAGGACGGGGGCAGAGGAAGCGATCTCTTTAATTCAAAATGGGCCCATCTTTTGGTGAATGAGAGAGTCCAGAATATTTAATTTTTTTTAAAGTATCTTTTTTTTATAAACATGACATGGCTGCAAAAGTTTTGTTTAAGCCATTTTTGATAAACTTTAATTTGAAAAATGTAGCCTGCTCTAGGAGAAGCATATTTTGAACATTCATGCAGTTTAACACAGACCTTTGTGTGTGGTGCAGTGCACAGGGGGTTTCTGCAGTACAAAGTTGTGAACAAACGCCTTCCTTGATTCTCCCACGCAGGGCCTCTTTGTTGGATTTGACTAGACCAGACCTTGCATTGACGACTAGTGTCATTTCATTAATAATATGTATCATTGGATCACTGTTCTCTGTATATGTACCATTTAACACCAGCATCAAAGGAATATTTATGGTACAGGGGTCTGACCACCCACCACTCTGTCGTTGCTGTTAGTCATTGTAGGGCAGCACCTCCAAGTGTGTAGGCACGCCCAGAGGCGGATTAAGGTTTCCTCGGGCCCTGGGCCAGAGCAAGTGGCGGGGGGGGACGACCCACCCCACCCCTTCCACCTGCTGTCCTGCCCCAGTTCCACCCCCCTCTGCCTGCAGCCTCACCCATGGCCCCACCCCTTTAGGCCCCTTTCCCCAGGCCCTGCCCTTGTTGCCCCCTATTCTGCCCCTCCACTGCGGCCCTGCAACCCATTTGCTACTTTCTAGCCCCCACCCCACTGGGGCCTTAAGACTGGAGAAGCTCTGTCCCCCCACCACAGCCCTGGCTGCAGCGGGGAGTGAGAGCTCCCTGAGGCCGTGGCAGGTAGCGAGATCCTCCAGTCCCAGGGCCACAGCAGGGGTTTGGGTGCTGGGGCTTCCCCTGCTACCCCGCAGCTTCTGTGGGGGCCCAGGTTAGGGGCGCTGGAGCTTCTCCGACCTGCTCGGTGGTTCTGCTGGAGAGTGCGGGGGAGCTTCCCCTGCTGCCACCCTCAGCTTCTACCTGGGATGGGGTCGGAGGGCGCAGGGGCCTTCCACTGCTGTCCCCAGCTTTTGCCAGGAAGCTGGGCTAGAGAGCGTGGGTGCTTTCCCCGTTGTGCAGGGGAGCAGGGTCGGGAGGTGCGGGAGGCTTCCCCCGTTCTGCGGGAGAGTGGGGTCGGTGTGCGGGGGCTTTCCCTGCCATCCGCAGCTTCTGTGAGCTATAGGTGTGCTGGGGGCTTCCCCTGCCACCCAGGCTTCTGCCAGGGAGCGGGTTTGGTGCGCAGGGGCTTCCCCCATCCCCCGGCTTCTGCCCAGGAGCCATGTTGGAGTGTGCGGGCATTCCCCGCCACACCTGCCCAGCGCTGCTGTCGGGGAGTGGGGTTGGGGAGTGGGGGGTTTCGCCTGCCGGGAACAGCTGCCTGGGAGTGGGGTTGGGTGCAGGGGCTTTTCCTGCCCCTGCTGCCTGGTGGTCGGGGCCCCGGGCACAGGCACCGTAGTCCCAGTGGCTAGTCCGCTACTGTGCACACCACAGAACATGAAGGGACAACAGCTTTTTGCCCAGAGGGAATCAGTTTCTTTTTTAATCTAACTGCTTGGGTTGGGAGGTGACTGAAAGTTTTTTACTATCTCTTCAGTGGCCAATACAGAATAAGTTGGTCGTTTCAGTTCAGTTCATAGTGGGCAAGTGTCCACGCATCACAAAACGAGGTTGTTGGCAGTCTGGCAGCGGCCAAGAACTGAACGGTCAGGCAGAATAAACTGTTCTCTCCTCCCTAGAAGTAGGTGCTGTCTCCAAAGCAGAGCTGGGGTATGTTGGGAGAGTGGGTTAGAGAAGCTTGCACTGCTGCTGCCCATGCTGTACCCATGTATTGACAAATGCAGTGCCGCCTTCTCCAAGGTTTGTCAGTCCAGCACCGTGAGCAAGCATGGTATTTGCTACAATCATTAAAATGACTCTTTTTCCTACACTGTTGGACTTGCAGGAGTAGGTGGTGCACTAGAAAATGATGACCCTTCCAAAATGGTGATGGTGCTGGCTGCTACAAACTTTCCCTGGGACATCGATGAAGCGTTGCGAAGAAGATTAGAGAAACGGATTTATATACCTTTGCCAACAGGTACGATTGCTACAAGTATTTTCCTTTAAATGTTTTTTTCTAGGAAACTTGTTCTTGACTGTATCTCTTAGGATTGTTAAGACCCTTAATATGTCTGTTCTAAACATTGCATTTGAGGGGTTAATAACTTGGCTGGCTGGTTTCTTAAAAAAATTGCCTGGAGCTCAGAAACAATGAGCTATGGTATTTCATTGCAGACCCATTGATGGGTTCTTATGTTTTGAAACCAAGTTAGTTTTAATGAGCCTGGAATTATTTTAAATGTTGCAGTCAATCCTTGAGAGATCATCAAAGGCAGCCTTTGGACTTTTTAAGAAATATTGCAAATGCATTCCCATGCCCTTGCAGATGAATGCAGAGAAATGGATCCATGAATTATCACTTCCAGGCTTAGCACATTGTAAATCACTGCTTGCCGGCCTTTATGCCTAGACTTCAAGTCACTCAAAATGTAGCAGGCTGATTGCTCTCCTGCCCAAGATTCCTTGGCTTGTATTGTCATTCCTGGCTGTCACTCGTATATCCTATTAATTTCAAGATTCGTATCACTTGAAGGTTGTATAGCTTTGTTTCTTCTTGGGACAGTGAATGCCTTGTATCGCTGCATGAGCACACTAGATAACAAGATGCGTGTTCATGGTGACAGCAATTGTGATTGAGTTTAACAGGTATAAGGACATTTTAATAGGTATACAGCTTGTCTTTGCAGCTCACAGACAGTAATAGCTCATAACAGGATGACTGGCTTTATGACCAATTAGTCTAAAATTCTATCAGTTTGCTCTTGTTTCTAACTGAGCAAGACTTGCTTTTGACATAGTGTAATACACCCTGCACTTCTTACATGAGGTAGATTGCCACTGTAGTTGTGAGTTTACATTCTATCATCTTATTCCGCCTATGAAGAAGTTAAATTGTTCTGTGCATCTCCAGATGATGTATTTGCATTCATGCTTTGTCATTTGAGATCACCAGGGATTTCAGCTGGGAAAAGTTTAAACCAAATAAATAAATTGTAGGATCTGGTGTAGTGTGAATTTTATGATGTGATATTTCTAAAATGACATAAGGCCCTGGGAAAACTTAGGAAAATATTCTGTTTCAGAGAAACAATTCTGCATGTGTGCCATATGTGCATCTATGGTGTTCTGTAAATAATCAATAACCCTTCTAAAGAAAATGCCATCTCTCTGTACAGACCCTCTCTCTGGATTATAGGTAATTTTGTAAGGCACTTAAGGTACCACAGTAGTATAAATACTTTCTATATTTTCTTTTTCACTGTTCTCCGTTAGTCACCGGGGACACTTATAAAACAGGAGTGTTGTTCTTGAGATTTTGTCTGCTCATCTTGCTGCTTCCCCCTCAAAATGGTCATCCTCTGTTTTTAAGGCATCAAAGCTGGTTGCTGTAGAAATGAACATGCTGATGTAGTGTACATTTTCCCTTGCAATAAAAAACTGAAAAGAAAGCCTCTTTCTCTTCACCCCCACCCCTCAAAATAACATAAAGGGACAAACTTTCAAATGTGGGTTCTCAAAGCACAAGCGTAGGACTTGCATATGCACATGCTATGTGTGCAGAAAGGTTAAATTGGCTGTGTAAATGGGTACTTATTTAGTCAGTTACCATGCTGTGCACACAGCATCTGTGTTTGAAAATTGGCCAATGCAATTGTTTCTAAATATAATTTCTGTTTTCCATGAGGCTTCAGCAATTCTGTTGGGCCCCGGTTCAGCAAAGCACTTAAGCATGTGCTTAAAGTTTAGCATATGCTTAAGTGCTTTGCTAAATGCTCTCTACCTCTATGTAAATGGAAATATTTGTGTCATCAAGTCCATGGTGTATCTAATAAAACCATGTAAATAATGTGCAGTCAACTTCTGAACAGACAGGTGTATCACAGGGGTCAGGAGGAGAATCAGAAGTTTGTAGGATCACGCCTTTGTTTCTTGTAAGAATAATATTCCCTGCTGGTCAGCTGTGTACAGTGAGAAAATGATGCACAACGAGGTCTGTGGTTATACCAGAGACGGTATCTGTTTGTCTCAGGCACATTGTGCAGAATGAGGCAAATGGCTAAGTGCTTTCAGTCATCTGAGAAGAGTAAGCATTTGGTATGATTGCACTTCCTGAGCTGTTTTGCGGTTTTATGACGTGTCTGTACGGGATATTTTTTAACTTCATGCTCTGCCAAAAATGTGCTCAGTTTTGTTTTTCTAATATGTGAGTACAAAGGAGATCACTAACCATAGGTGCTGCCCAGTGTTCGGGCAGGGCATGCCAGGTTCTTTTCTTTCCTGGCACCTCCTGTTGAGAGCTGCTCTAGTCTGTGATGGTGTGCTCCTTCTGTGACGCAGCCCTCCTGCTGGGTGTCACGTTGATGTCCACCCCTTCTGGAGTATAAGAAGAATCCAGCAATGGGGTAGCCCTCTAGGTAAAGCAAAGGGCTCCCAAGTCAGGGTCTTGACTCGTCTGTCTTTAGTGCCTTCTCTCATCTAGAGTGCCCATCATGGTTAGACTTCTGGCTTTGATACCCCTAGCCTAAGGGGTGGTAGGGCAAGCTGGGACCACCCTCTCCACCAGCTTCTAATCCAGGGCTCAGTAGTATGCAGCTACATCCTGCACCCCAGAGTGCTACACTGCTGCTTCTCTGGTCACTTGCTACCTGTCCCCTCTTTTCACAACAGATAAAGTACAGTAAAACCTCAGAGTTACAAACATTTCTGAGTTACGAACAACCTCCATTCCCGAGGTGCTCATAAGTCTGAGGTTCCACTGTAAAGATTTTTAATAACTGGAATCAAAGATAGTCTCAAACCTTCAGAGAATCTCTAGGCTCTTCCCTTTGGCTGTGGCAACTTTGCCAAAGGCAGGCATTAGGGGCTCCTGCACTGCTCCTTCCCAGGAACTCAGAATGTATGTCAGTTCACCTCCACTGTATGCTGCCTTACTGAGCTGACCCGTTCCTTTTGTGCTCCTCCTCCTCCTCATACCATGCTTTGCAGGTATGGCCTGGTGAGGCATCCTGGGTCTGGAGCAGCTGCTTATCTCCTTCCTTGTTGGTGCTAGGTTTGTATAACCTATCATAATAAGGCTTTTCATCTGTAGTTTCCATTTAAAGCCTAGATCGTGTTTGTCTTTTTTTGAGTATGCGTGTCAGAGACTTGAACAAAAGTATTATTAAACTTTAAACAAGTGATTCTTGTATCACAGCAAAAGGTAGAGCAGAGCTGCTTAAGATTAATCTTCGGGAAGTAGAGATGGATCCTGATATACACCTTGAAGAAATTGCTGAGAAGATCGAAGGCTACTCTGGTGCTGATATAACTAATGTTTGCAGGTATTTTGTTCATTTTATTTGCAAACAAATATAAAATCAATAGTTATGTTACTCAATAAAAGAGAGCAGCACCAGGCCCTGCCCACAATAGTCGAAAGCATGCTAGCAGCAACTATGTTTAAGGCTTGAATACACTTGCTAGCACTATTCGTACAATAGGATGGTTCTTAGAAAGCTTGAAGACTGTGTCAAGATGTGACGGTGTCTGCTATGGTCGTGGGAGAGCAGACAGCCTGAGCAAATGTTTGTTACCATTGTCTATTTTCACCGACTCCTGTTTTAATCTTCTAATCTAGTATAAAGCCGGGTTGTTTGGGGGTTTTTAACCCTGTGGATTTAGGAGCTGGAACTTCCTGCTGCAGAGAGAAACAAGATATTTTACTTATTCCTATATAATATTTTCTATTGCATTTGTGTCCAGAGACCCAATCAGGACTCAGCTGCTCTCAGTGCTAGATAGAGCTGGCTGGAAACTGGAATCCCTATTCCGCAGGATATTTCAAAATTTATAAAATATATTGCTTTGAACCAAAAAGAACAATGACATTTCCTGCAGAACGGGAATTCCAATATTTTGTTTTGAAAAAGTCAAAATGACCTCTTGTTTTGATCTTTTCCAAACATTTCAGTGGCTTCCTGCGCTCACAGGAACACTGTCAACTTTCCAGGCAGGGAGATGGGCAACTTGGGGACCCACAAGCCAAGCCTGGGAGCTTGGGATCTGTGGCTTCCAGGGCCTCCAGGCTCCCCCAGGCTTTCCAGCAGACTGCCTGGTTTCCATCAGAATTTCATCAAAATCCTTGTTACTGCAAAACATTTCAATTTAGAAGAATCAGCATTTTCTAATAGAAAAAAGTTCTGCTGGAAAACGTCCAACCCGTGCTAGAGCTAGGGGCTGAACATCAAGTACAAACGCTTGGTCCCTGCCCAGAGGAACTTACACTGTATGAACATGTCTCAAGACTGTGGTCACCCATATTTCTACTGATTAAGTGGCTATTAACCTGTGTTGAAATGACTCCAGAGTTTTGAAATCTTTGTGTTGAACTGTACAATAGTTAGGTTAAATGTTGTCCCTCGGGCCTATATTCTCCCTTGCTGGGAAAACTGCAAAAAGAGAATCCATAGCTGAAAATTCCACATGGGCCATGCTGTGAGAAATGAGCGACATTCTCTTTTTCTGGTGAGCAGGGCTTAGAAAGGGCCAGGGGAAGAGTCTACCAGATGAAAAGCGTATAAGGATCTGCAGGCATCGGTGTCCTCAGCCCTGTGGATTAATATGTCATGTGTGCTTTTTGGCTGCCACTCTGCACTTTCCAGACCAAGTGACCCTGCCAAAACTGGCAGCAGGGCTGAATTGCATGTCAAGCTGCCATTGGCTCCCCCACCAGGGACTGCACACTGCTAAGGAGGTTGAAGCCATGGAGTGGGAGATAGTGCTGCATCAGAGGGGAACAGAAGCTTGAATGTTTCAAAAAGGAGGGATCAGTTGAGCACAGTTTTTGTTTTCATGAGTTTAGTGACTGCATTGAAGTCACAAGATTCATCTCCATGAATCATTGTAAAAGGTTTTCAGTTTTATAGTTTTAATTATCTCTGCACATTTACCATATGCTTAAATGGATTTGGGTACCAATGCATTCTTTACATCAAATGAATGTAGTGATCTTGGAACATAGAAGCGAAGAAAGATGTATTCTACATCTTGGAAGTTATTGCATTCTTAAGTGTTCCTTCCAGTGAAGCTTGAGAATATAATCAAAATTCATGTGGCTCACAGCACACAGTACTGACACTTAGTTCCCATGTATTTTCCTTTGTTTCCAGGGATGCCTCTTTGATGGCAATGAGACGGCGCATTAACGGCTTAACCCCAGAAGAGATCCGTGCACTTTCTAAAGAGGAACTTCAGATGCCTGTCACCAAGGGGGACTTTGAGCTGGCTCTGAAGAAAATCTCCAAGTCTGTTTCAGCTGCAGACCTGGAGAAGTATGAAAAATGGATGGCGGAGTTTGGATCTGCTTAACCTCAGTGACGTCTGTTCTGGGCAATAATTTTTTTTTATCTTTTTCTGTTGTAAACTGTAAAATGAGTTAAAAATGTTTTAAAAGCTTTAATAAAAGGTTTGATTTTTTTTTTCCTTCTGGTGACAAGAACCCCCCCCCCCCTTTTAAATTTTGTTACTCTTGAAAGGAATAAAAATGGTAACTCACACAAGACATAAAGATGCTTTCTGACTGAATAGTAAAATGCATAAATAGCAAAGGGAAAATACACTTTTGAAGATAAGCTGCACTTTTCCAGTGAATTTCAGTGTTCCCTATTTTCACACACACTAGTCTTTCATGGCCCAGATCTGTAAATCAGGCATGGGAGGGTGATGAGAGAAGCTAGCAGAGATTTGCTGCACACCTTATTTGTAGGAATTGCTGTATTTCTAGTAAGGATCGGGTTCCTTGCCCTTGTATGTGGCACTGAAGTTACTGTTCGGCTGCTGCTTCTCCTTTCATTAGGTTATTCTGAGCAAAGTAAGTGGGTAAAATTGGCCTTGTTTACAATAAGCAGAGAGCAGTTTGCATCAAGACTCAAATTGTTAATGATTTTGTTGGAAACTTTTTCAGCCTAATTTTTCTCTCACTCTCACCAGTTTTACACTGGTGTAACTTCACAGACTTCTGTGGTGTTATTCTGACTTTACGCCAGTGGAAGTGAAAGGAAAATCGGGGCACTTGATTTCTTTTGGTCAAGCTTAGGCCACATTTGCACCAGTGTAACCAAAGCTGTGATTTTTTTTAACTGATTTTAGTTGACCTTCCACTCTTGCACTATTACTCATCCCCGTGTATTTTGTTTGTGTTTTCTAGATATTTTTTATTCTTATTTATTAAACACCAATAGTGTGCTTGACTCAATTCAAGACTTAATACCAAGCCCATTCCTGCTCCTAGAAGACAGACACTGGACATGGAGCTCTCGTTTTCCTATCAGTCACAAACACTCTCTTTCCTAGACTTGGTACAGGACAACATTTGTTTACGCTGTGGAACTGTTTTTGCAGTTCAGACTTTTATGCAGTTTTCTTAAATGTGTAAAAATGCTTTGACTGGGAAAATGATTAATTTCGGTAGATTGTCTCCTACCCCAAGCCAATGTAGTGCTGAAAAAGGCTGGATTGGCAGCTTTGGCGCATGAAGGCCTCCGTCCCAGAGTGTGGCTGTCACACTGGAAGTAGCTGTGCTGGCCGCTCTCCACATGAGTTTGTGGCTCTCATATCTGACGTACCGGAGCTTCCTCTGCTAGGAACAGAGAGAGAGTTCAGTTTCAGTGGCCATCCTGTCCTTGGCCTCTCTGCTGAGGCTGTCAGTAAGGCTGCCAGTTGTGACGATGGGGATTGTAACATCGACCTGTTCTTTAGGAATTAGACCGAGTCCACTTTTCGTATAATCGCCAAACTGCTGTGGCATGCAAGCAACTTCTTGCTATAATTGACTTTGACCAGACCTAGAAAGGTTCCAACTACCATTATTACTCCACCGAGCTAGCCAGCCCTTCATAGTACCTGCGGGACATGGCCAGAATTGTTTAAATGAATTCCTAGTGCAAACACAACTCTGGTGCCTCACCCATTCACTTGTTAGGGGAGAAAGACGTCTGGGATTTATTCTAAACAGTTCTACAGCACATAACTGGTTACGTAGGCTACATTTGCAATAGTTTTGCCATGAATTCATTATCTGTAGATACCTTGGACGTAGACAGCACCTTGGGCTGAGCCTGTGAATGGTACGGTTTGCTCTTTTCAAGCAAAGGGCCTGCTGTAACTTGAATGGAAAAAATCCCAATAAATGTCCTGATGACTCTCATTCATGTTGCATTGTACTTTTGTTTGGATGCAGACTTTGGGCTCAACTGTGGCTCTTCTGGCCCAGGCCCCTGTGGCTGACTTGGGCACGATGCCTCTTGAGCTCTGGCAGTGCAAGGGGAGCACAGCTGGTGCAGAGACCTTCCAAAGGGTGCAGCATTCACTCCACTGGCCAGAGCTGGGGGAAGGGAATTGTGGGCCCTGCTGTGCTGTACCCCTGCTGGGGGAGGCTACCGGGCTCAGGGAACGCATGGACTCTCATTGTGGTCATCCCTTGAAAGGTGGAGAGAGAAGGCTCCATTTGCCCTCTTTCCCCTGGCTAGTCTGCTGCACTTGTGCAGGGCTCGGCACGTTTGGACCCCTTATGTTTTCACATATCACTAATGATATGTGTGACCATCAGACTAAATAAAGGGGCAGTCTCGGAAGTTGCAAGAGGAGCAAGTGGAAACCAAGTGTAATCTATATTGTTCTAGAATAGAATTCATCCCTACTCAGGCGGTCAGCACAAGCCCTGTGGGTTTAAATGGGATTTAATTGGTGCATTGCCCTTTGCACAAAAATGAATGTCACCCCTAGTGAATAGCTAAGCCTTTCCTGGGGGGGGGAAGGGAGAAAAGCTTTTAAAAAATAGCAAGCTTCTATAATTACTCCTTGTTCCTTCGTGGGTGGTGAAGCTGTCAAGCATTGCACTTTCCTGTAATTACTGTTGTTCATTTGATTTTAATGTTATTCTTTCATGTGGCTACTAGATGGACACTGCAGAAATTAAAGGACCCAATGAGATTCTCTAATTAGTACTACTGGAGTAGTGCCTTGGTCCCCCATTGTGCTAGGCACTGTACAAACAGAGAGAGAGAGTCCCTACCTGAAGAGCTTACAACCTAGGCAGACTGAAGGGGAATTGGAGGCAGGACGTGACTTGCCCAAGGCAATGCAGCAGCTCTGTGATAGAGCTTCTCCTGACACCCAATCAGGAGCCCTACCCACTAGATCATGCTGCCCTCCTCTGTAGCTCCATCTTGTAACAAAAGTCTCCTTTGCTACTGTGATTTGCTAGGGTTGGTTGCCTCAGTAAACAGGGGTCACTCGGGGGGAATCATAGTCATGGACTTTTCCCTCCTACCCATCCGAATTCTGATCCGTGTTTTGGGCTTTGAACATTACACTTCAGCTTCCGATCTGGTGGGTGCAGCTGTAACTCCAGTGAAATCAAAGGGGTTGTACCTGCTACAAGTGACCACAAGACTCTAACATTGCTCTTTGGGCTGCTGCACAATGCGAGTGTCCCCCGCAAGGTGCATTCAGCCACCGTGATTCAGAAAGTCTCAAATGTCCGCATGTTCTTTTGTGTCATGTGAGGCAGTGACCCGCTTGCCAATGAGAGCCCTGGGAGGATGGGGTGATCTTAGGAGATCATTACCCTTAGCTCCTCACTCAAACTGCCACTTTAAAGTGTTAAGCCATTATGTCATGTCATCGGAGCCATATGTGAAACAAAATTCACTGTGGTGGGACTTAAATGTTCAAACATCCACACACGCAAGACCAAAATGTTACATCACTGAGCCCCCGATCATGAGCCTTCTCTCCCAGACCTCAATCAATTTTCTCATGTTGATGGTGCCCTTATAGAAATGTATTTCACAGCTGCAGAACAGACTTGTGAAAATGCCCCCAAATCACAGATTTTATTCTTTATCTGTATCATGGTAGAGCTCAAAGGCCCCAGCCAGGATCAGGGCCCCATTGTAAAACCACACTCTAAGAGTCTCTGCCCCAAAGACTTTGCAAGATAAGGCCCTAATCCTGCATTGCAGCTCCCTGCAGATAGATCCTTGAACCGTCACAAAGCCCCAGTGAGGCCAATGGGGGCTCTGCAGGAGTCTACCTCACCTACCAGCTTGCAGGATGTAAGAGTGAATGGGGAGGGAGGGCAAGGCTGACCGTGACAAGAGCTCATGGTTACCTAGATTAGCTATGGGCACAATTAGCAGGAATCAGTTTACTTAAAAAAAAAACAAAACTCTCTGCATTTGTGACACAGTAAGTCATCGCTTTCATTTGGTGATGCCTGAACTACCATGGGCACAAAGTCCAAATGAACCACAATCTGGGATAACGATTGGATCATTTTGTGTATATATATGTATTTTTGTTCAATGTGTGACCTCTCAGTATGTTGTACCTACATTACAGGGGAAATTGTTTTAAAACAGTATTAAGGTATCTTTCCAAACATCTGCGAACATCTCTCCTGCTGGCACTGTTAATGTCGTAACCTTAACACATTGGTTGTATTGATAAACATGGAGAGTCTTTCTCTGTTTGTTCTCGCAAACGTTTTCCTGATGTTCAATCTAGGAGTCTCCCACCTGCGAGTGAGATTTTTTTCAGCATGTGGTGTTGACGTTTGAATCACTAAAACCCTCGGCAGCCAGGGACTGATGTTCACAGAATCTGTGTTTTGGATCTAATCATCAGTCATACTTTCCATTCTCGGCAGGCCTTTTGTGGCCACAAGCTATAAAACAGTGTATGCTGCATGGCTGATGCTGATGGAGGAAATGGGAAAGGCCCTCTCTGATTTTCAGCAGAGAGTTAATGCCCTGCTCAGACCTTACACAGTTGTTTAGCTCCACATTTTTACCTGCTCCTGGGGTCTGAAAGTCTAATCAGGCACTCAAGAAGCTATATGATTAACAGACCCCATCTGGAGCAAAACCTATGACACCTCCTGTTCTGCCTGGTGGTGAACAAATCCACTTGGGATAGTGACTGCTACCTCCGGGTGGAGCACCCACTCGTGGTGAGAGGAGAAGACCCTGCTTAGGTGATCTGCTAGCATGTTCTTGGCACCCGGAAGGTGACACACTTCTAGATGAATTCTGTGGTCGATGCAGAAGTCCCAGAGATGGAGTGCCTCTTGGCAGAGGATCACGCTCCCTCTTGTCTGTTGATGTAGAACATTGAGGCTGTGTTGTCCGACAGGTGAGGTAGGAAGACCGCACACACTTTGTGTACTGCCCTGAGGTCTTTGAAGTTTATGTGTAGCGTCAACTCCTCTGGGGACCACATAACATGAGTCTGGAGGGTGCCAAGGTGTGCAAGGGTGCCGAGGAGTCCGAAACCAACTCGACTAAGTGAGGAGTGCTGACAAAGGGAATTCCTTCCAGGACTTTCCAGGGGTAGGTCCACCATCGCAGCGAGGTAAGTATCATTGCAGGGATGGTAACGACCTTTTCCAGGTAGTCCCTGGACTGGGAGTAGACCATCGCCAGCCATTTCTGCAGGGGTCACATCCGGAGCCTGGCGTGGTGCACCACATATGTACACACTGCCACATGACCAGGGTGCAGGCAAACTCTGGCCATGGTCAGAGGAAATGCAGAAACTTCCGCAATGAGGTCCATCAGTGCCCTGAATTTCTCCAGCGGCAGGAACACCCTGGCACAGGTCGAGTTGAGCTCCAGTCCGATGAACTTGATCCTCTGCACCGGAACCAACGTGGATTTTTTGTAATTTACCAGCAGGCTGAGGCAACGGCAGGTGGCTAACAGCATCACGGCATCCCTTTTGGACCTGGGACTGGGAACTGCCCTTGACTACCCAGTCATCAAGGTATGGGTAGATCTGGACACCCCGACATCTGAGGTAAGCAGCCACCACCGACATGCACTTGATAAATACCTGTGATGCAGTCGCTAGGCCAAATGGGAGGACCGTAAACTGATAGTGGTTGGGACCTACCATAAACTGGAGGAAGCATCTGTATCCCTCGAAGATGGCGTTGTGGAAGTACACATCTTTCAGACGGAGGGCGGCGTACCAGTCTCCTGGATCTGGGGGGGAATGATGAAGGTCAGGGAGACCATGCGAACTAGGAAGCAGTTCAAGTCTCGCAGGTCCAGGATAGGTCGCAGACTGCCCTTGGCCTTTGGGATTAAAAAGTAGCGGGAATAGAACACCCCTGTTCCTGTACTCTGGAGGAATGACCTCCATCACACCTAGCTGCAGTAACCCCTCTACCTCCTGCGCGAGGAGACTCTCATGATAAGGGTCCCTGAAGAGGGATGGGGAGGGGGAGGGGGAGTGGGAAGGAGGGGTAGAAAATAACTGAAGGGTGTAATCCCGCGCCACCGTACTGAGGACCCATTGGTCCAATGTTATAGGTGCCCATGCAGGGAGGAAAGGAGAAGAGCGGTTGGCAAAAATAGGGGAGGGAGGATCCTGAGAACAGTCCAGTCAGTAATCCTTGGGCATACCTTCAAAATGAGCACTTGCCTGCCTGCGTATTGGGGTCGAGCTTGACTGAGAAGCCTGTGGAGGCTGGTGGCTAGGACGCTGCTTGTAGCCTCTGAATTTCTTACGGGGAGGCTCCTGGTGAGAGTGGCTCCCCGGCCCTGAGGCTGCTGCGGCTTAAACTGCTTGCAGGGAAGGCCGGGCACATACAGGCCCAGCGTTTTAAGGGCCATGCGGGAGTCCTTTAGGCCATGGAACTTGTTGTCTGTCTGTTCCACAAACAGGGCTTGCCCATCGAAGAGAAGGTCTTTCATCGACTGCTGAGCCGCCGTGGACAAGCCAGAGAGGAAAGGCCAGGATGCCAGGCACATGCCAACGGCCAAGGCCATGGTTCAGGCAGCAGTGTCTGCTGCATCCAACGCCACCTGGAGCATCGCCCTGGCCGCAGTCGTGTCCTCCTCCATAATATCCTGGAACTCCTTCCTAGAAGCCTCAGGAAGAAGCCCTCAAACTTGGCCATGGCTTGCCACATGTTAAAATCATAGCGTCCTAGTAGGGCTTGATGGTTGGCTACCCTCAACTGGAGACAAGAGGACGAATAAACCAAACAAGTCTATTCTCTTGGAGTCTTTGTTCTTAGGGGTAGCCCCGGGTTGACCTTGTCACTCCCGGTGGTTAACTGCTTCTACCATTAGGGAGTTGGGAGCAGGGTGGGTGTACAGCTACTCGTGGCCTTTGGATGGCACAAAGTACTCGCACTCAGCCCTCTTGGAGATGGGTGGCAGGGAGGAGGGAGTTTACCACAGGGCATTAGTGAGCTTAGAGACCCCATCATGAAGGGGCAGAGCCACCCTGGCCAGTGCTGTGGAGCAGAGGACATCGAAGAGAGAGCATGAAGGCTCCTCTAGCTCCTCCGCCTGAAGACCCAGGTTGGCAGCGACACTCTTCAGTAGTTCCTGGTGGGCTTTAGCATCATCCGGAGGAACCAGGGGAGGGAGCCTCATTATAGCCTTTTCCGGCGACGATGAGGAAGATGCCAGTGATGTAGGGTCCTCCAAGACCATTCGTGGCCCAGTGGCTTGTTCCCCTGCTCCCTCTTGGACCTGCGGGGTCCTCACGCCTGAGGCTTCATGCACCGGAAGAGGATGGGAGAGAGAGGCAGCTGATCTCTCTGAGGCTCCAGACACCGAACAGGCGGCATGGGAGGGCTGGGTGAACCCCCACAGGTTCCATGGGTACCTCGGCACCGGCCACTGTGCCTGAGGCCATGGGGCCAGTTTCGGTGCAGACAACATAGCCGGTACTGGAGCTTGTCCCGCCATCAGAGAACCTTGCTCCAAACCAGGCTGGATCCTGAGCAGTCGCTCTAAGGTGACCAGGATGGAGCGGAACGGTGGCTTTGTCCTGACTGATGCTGGTCTTAGGAGTCCGATCAAGAGTGGGGTCTTAGGGACCAGTGCCGCTCAACGGATCTGTGATGGCTTGGAGCCGGTGATCTACATCTTGCACTTGCTGAGTGGTACCGGGATGAGGAGCAGGACCAGGAGTCAGAACGGGCCCAGTGCCGGGAAACGCCTACCTGCGGTGATGCCCTCCTAGGGGATTGGCGACGGTCCGAGGAATGGTAACATCGATCCCTCCACAGATCCCTGGAGCAGTACTGCAGTCTCGGAGATACTGGGTGGCGGGATCGGTACTCCTGCTGGGGGGTGTGTGCCTGCAAAGGTCTGCGCCCGGTGGCCAGTGAGCTGCGCCTTGAGCCTCTCTGCCCATGCCCAAGGTCCAGGGACCGAAGGGGGCTGCGTTGCGTCTGCCTTTCGTGGTCAGATGTGTGGTGGCTACGGGAGGGCAAGTGCTGGCGGGACGTCCCCCACGATGGGGAATGGTGCTTCTGAGTTGGGAGACCAAAGTGGTCCGAATGCGGGTTTACCCTGTGACCGGGGAACCACAGGAGCTGGTGTGGGTGGCACTGGGAGGGACATGATCTCCTGCGCCACCTGCAGGGTCTCTGGTGTGGACGGTACCTAGAGCTGATGGAGGCCTCTGCCACTATCCGGGGTAGCTGGCAGGAAATAGGTTGGGCTACATCGCTCCACCGGAGCTTGGACCCAAGATCCCGACATGGATGAAGAGTTGCCCAGCATGGGACCTTACTCACATCCAATCTTATCCTTTCCCTTGCAGGAGGTTGGAGACTAGCCTCACCCTGCCTTCTTGGGCTTCTTGGTCGGAGCTACAGATCAGGACCGGTGCCGGCCAGTGGACATTCCCGGGGGGGTGCTGCGTACCGAGGTCACGGTACTCAGTGCTGAGTTGGAGCGTTGCTCCGGTGCTGGGGTGAGGGCCGACTCCATGAGGAGCGCTTTTAAACGAATATCACACTCCTTCTTAGTCCTTGGCTTGAAGGACTTGCGAATTTTGTTCTTCTCACTAATGTGCCCTTTGCCCAAGCAACACAGACAACTGTGTGGATCACTAATGGGCATGGGCCTCTTGCAGCGATCACAGGGCTTCAGGTCTGGGGACTGGGGCATGCCCCATCCCGAGGCAAAGTCCTGTTCAGGACCTACAAAGTCTCTAACTATAGCTAAGGGATTTATAAAGACTAACAGAAAACTCTATACGCTATCATACAAGAGATAACTAGTTTGTACGAACGAGCAGCAACAGCACTGGCTGAAGCAGCCACAGTACCAGCGCCATCTCTGGTGGCAAGAAGGAACTGAGGGTGGGGGGAACTGGCAGAGCCCTCTATGCTGCAGCATGTGTGCACCGCTCCAGGGGGCGCCAGAGCCGGTACGCTACAGGTACTGCTGAGGGAAAAACTTCCTGCACCGGTGCATGTGGCGAGCACACGCACCTAAGTTGAATGGACGTGAGCAAGCATTTGAAGAAGAACTTCTGAAGCCAGTTCACTGTTCAGCTGACAACCCCATGGTTGAAACTACAATTCCTCCAGTTTCAGCTGTTTACTGTGGCAACTCTCACGCCCACCACCGGTGGTTTTATACAAGTTTTATTCCATCATGAGCGCACCGAGAGACTGCCTGGCTGCATACCTGCCACTGGCTAAGGAATGGTGCCTTTGCTATGTGGACACCTGAGTCAAATCAGGCCCCATCCACCCATGATTACAACCACTTACTTTACATTGGTGAGTAATGAATACCACTCACACTTTGCTCTCTCCCAGGTTTTCACTTATGCACAAATGGGCAATAATATAATTTGTATTATAGTCATGCTCAAAATGTGCCAACCACTGTAATTGCAGATAGGAATAACAGTCCCTAATTGCAGTTTACATTCCTGGACCTGATTCAGGACAATTTATTCCAAAATTGATGGGAGATTTTTTTCACATTTCCTCCTCGGTTGGTTTCACATGATCTCATTGTTTCTCTAGCTATCCAGATAGTTTGGCGCACTCTCTCCCTTTACAAGGTGTGTGCACGTTCTTTCATCTTCAGTGACCAGAGCAGTATGGTGCAACTTTGTATTCTCTTTTTTTAAATGGACATACTACAGGTTCTATGTGAAATTACCTTCCTTTCAGCTGGTGGAATGGGTCAACAGGTTCAGCAATGGAAAGAACAGTCCTTTGGTCAGCAAGCTTCATTCTTGAAGTGTTGAGAATATGGTGACCACAAAACACCTTTAAAAAAGTTAACACAATTAGAAAACAAACACACACAACTTGGGCTCAGGAAACCTGGGGTCTCATGTGCCCTCTCCTCTGACAGTTAGGAGTGTCCCTGCTTTTCCACCTCCCACTTACACAGCTGCTGTGCGGTTGTGCTGAGCTTTATGATCCCCAGATGCCTTGACATGTGTGTAGATGTTTTCATGTCTCTTCACAGATGTCTTTCACACATGGATTGGTTCAACAGGCACCTATCTTGGTTAGCAGTGGGTGTTCTTGTATAGGCTGTTTGTGCCATGTATAACTGAGCAGGTTGAGTGTATGAGATAAAGTGAAATAAAGGTCATTGGGCTGGTGAAGGTGAGAGGAAGCGTGCGGAATAGCAATTGGGTGGAAAGTAACAGAAACCATAGCAACTCTGTGAAGGGTTTATAAATATAACAAAAGAAAAGGGAATAGCCTGAAGGAGCTGCTGTGCTGACAACACGCTGCAATGTGCATGTTGATCAGAATAATGCCATATTCACCTCTGGGCCAGTACATTTCTGTACTGTAACAAACTGTGTCTGCTTCCGAGACTGAAGGAAGAACCACCTCAGTCACTAGCTTCTTATCCTGCCTGGTTTCTCAGTGCTTTGCTGGTCTCCATATAGGATTGCGAAGGACGCCAAAAGGGCTCTTTTATTTAGGCTGTCATGGAATCACAGGCTCAGTGTCCTGGAACTGCTCTGTATGAAGCCAGACAGGACTCTGGCGTAGCATGCCTCAGCCATTGTCGCCAGGGCATGAAGCCTTTTCGGCTATGGCCTTCCTGGGTCCGACCCCCGTTCTCACCATGCACTTCCCATAGCGACTCCCCCTGGACGGGACCCCAGGGGAAGCCACAGGGACCATGCACCCCAACTTCACAGTCAGCAGTGACTCTCAGAAGGGTTTATTAGTCAACAGGAACAAAGCATAGAACAGAGCTTGTTAGCACAGAAAGCAGGACAATTCAGTAAAGTCCATCTTGGGGAAAGGGAAACCCAAGCCTTGGGGTCCTGGCCCTCCCCCTTGAGTCCCAAACAGGTGACTGAAACAGTTCCAGCTGCCTGGCCCCAGACACACCTGTTGCCCCTTCTCTTCCTTTGTCTCTTTCCCCAGCCAGCAGGTCACCTGATCTGCTTGGACACCTCTGGCTAATTCTTTCAGAAGAGGGGGCTTGGTCATCAGTTGCCAGGCTACAGAGTGTCAGCCATTCTCTGTCCCAGGCAGCCAGGCTGCAGTCACACCTGCCCTCTAGGGATCACTGAAATTATCACACACTCTTATTCCAAATCCTAAATACTTGAGTAACACATAGGGGAAACTGAGGCATGCACACACTATTCAGAGAAGACATTAAGAACATTCCCAGTTTGTCACATTTGCATATTTGACTTCCAGCTCAGATTTTCTTTAAATGGCTCATTGGTGTTCCTTGATATGATAAGGATGATGAATAAATAATAATACAGTGATGTATTATTGTAGCACCTCGCAGCCCCAGCTGAAATAGGGGCTGCCTGGTGCTGAGTACGAATATATAGTAAGTAGTGATCTCCTCCTGGAAGGGCTTACAAGCTGCATAGATAAGACAGACAAAAGATGGGAGGGGAAACAGGTGAAGTGACTTGCTCAAGGTCATATAATGCGTCAAAGCCAGGAATACAACCCAAGTCTCTTGACTCCCAGGTCCCTGGACCATGTTACATGCCAGTCTTAGCAGAACTTGTTAAAGAAGATGCCATGTGATGACACTGTTGATTATAAACATACTTTTTGCTAGTTTGATTAAACAGATGCGACCCATGGGATGCGAGGTTCTATAGGGGAATTCATTTACAGTGTTCGTACAGTGAAGGTTAGCATATTGTCAGCATATGGCACAATTGTTTAAAATAAATATTTGATTGTTTTTAATTTATGCTTGTGCACTAAGGTCCCTGAACATTCAGATCCCTTTGTCGATCATATCTAAATAGCTACCTAGGCATTTATACCACACTGCTAGGAAACTCTGCCCCTCCCTCCTAGCTGGGGATCTGAGCAGTGATTCCTACATTTTTCCTCTCCAGACTGGATTCCTGTGTCTCACTATATGTGGGTGAGAAGGTGACAACAAGGCAGAGGCCCAGGCTCATAGAAAAGGCTTCACTGGCCACTGGCCAAGGCTGCCAGGAGCACCTGGCCCCTATGTTCTCCATTCCAGTCTGCTTCCATTGCAGTTCAATGTCCTGGTCCTGAGCCTAAAAGCCATCAAATGAGCCAGCTCTCAACTCCGCTCAATCAGTGACTGTACCTCCGTCCACAGCCACCGAGGGAGCTACGCTCCACTGGGACACTGATGCTTGGAAAAACCAGAATGAAGCATGTGAGAGCAAGACAAATTGTTCTGGGTCTCAGAGAACAAGCTTCAAGAGGAGATCAGGCTAATCTAGTCTGCTTGTTGTCAGGGCATGCTGATCCCCATGTCTGGTAACATGCTTCCACCATATTCAAATTCATGGAGGGTGAGGGGCAGAGAAGAAGAACACCCTGTGCCCAATGGAGAGATACCAAGCATAGCTCCCTCTGCCATGGATGGGAGAAGAGCAGGAAACTCCATGACGTTCACTAGGGACCTTGCCATGCAGATCTAATTTATCTGGGAAGCGCTTAGCCACAGTGGTGGTGATGGGCCCAAGAGAAAAGCCTACGCTAGGTCCATCACCAGATCATCTGGGTGCCTTGAAAACTCTAAAAGCAGGCACCTTAAGAGATCTCTCTCCAGGTCATTCCAGGCCCTGGCTGGGGTTTATTTTGTGCTGTTTTTTTGGATGTTTGGGTCCTTTCTGCTCTATGCAGCAGGGAGAGAAATGGAGCATCAGCCTGAGCTCTGATTTTTAAGGCATCTTCAGGCTGGGAGTCTATTGTCAAGCTGTCTCTTGCTGCAGGTGAATGACTAGCCCAGACCATGCATGCGGCCGTGTCCCCTTTCACTGCCAGCAGCCCCTCCCTTTGTGCTCAGATATTGTAGCTTCTATCTCCATGACTCTGGGCATAGGGGCAGCCACCACTTGGCCTTGAGACTGTAGACTCCTAGGAATTTAGCTCTTGTTTGTGTCTGATACTGTACATCTCACTTGTGTTGGGGACACTGGGGCATGGCCACTAGGTAACTCGAGGGGATGGAAGACCACGAGTGTCGATGAAGCCCCCTCACACTAGGCCCAAGTGTCCTTGGCCCCCCCGCCTGGAGGCACTCGCAGCAGCTCTGCGTACTAGGCCCAAGTGTCCTTGGTCCCCGCGCCTGGAGGCACTCACAGCAGTTATGCTGAGGATCTGCAACAATATGTTGCAGAGTCAGACTGCCTGAAACTAAGCAAGGCCAGACAGGGCAGATATGGAAGAACAATGCTGAATAAAGCAGCTTTATGTATGGTTTAACAAATGATACAGAGAACCAGGGAACTAGCTGGGAACTGGATTGGCTAGCTATATGGATACTTAGAGCAGCTTGCTATTGGATAAGTATGCTGAAGAAAGGATGTATAAAAGCCTATGTAACTTCCTGCTCTGGGTGCAGGATTTGCGATTCTATTCTCCCTGTACCTTTTTGCAGCTGCAAATAAACTTTTCTGCTTCTCCACCCCGTTGTGATGATTGGGTGACGCACACTGGGTAGCGAACCAACCGCAGCTGTTGTTTAGCCTCTCAGCACTGGGTGCCGGCAACACTTGTAAAAGAACAACATGCCCAGCCATGGGGGATAGACAGATACTAGGCTGTGCTGCTAATGGAGGCTCCTCTAGCTGAAGGGACAGCAAAGCCTAGGTTGTGCCACTGGTGGCCACTCAGTCACATTTGCTACTCAGAGACAGAAGCCAGAGCGTCTATCCCAGTTCACCTCCGAGCCTCCACCACGGGCACAAGCTGACATCTTGGGGAGGACAGCCTTTGAGCGCCACACCCTTCCAGGAAGATGTTCTTCATTTCAAAGCAAACTGGGGGAGGAATAACTTGTAGGAAAAGTTTGCATCCGCCAGCGATGGGGAATATACTCCACACTGGTGTGGAAAGAGTTCACTGTAGCCAGAGAGTGATTTGCGCGCATGGGTGTACCTAGAGGGCGGAGCAGGCCCAAATAAAGATGAGGCCCAGCTGTGAGGGTTGGGGGGTGGTTAATGAAAGAAGGACTTTGGGAGCATAGGTGTTGGGATCCTCTTCTGAGATGGGAACTCTGGCAAAAGGCCAGGAAAGGCACTGAGATGCTATAGGGGTGGAGCAAGTGCCTGTGGTGAGCCTGGATAAAAGGGTAGGAACCAGGCTCCCGGACAGACCACGCTGGGAGATGTTGCTTACTACCAGAGCCAGAAAGGGTATGGGAATGGGGCCCAGAGACAATCAAAGGTAGGTAGTAGTCCAAGGAGTCTGAGGAAGCAGATCTTAACTGCTCACTACAGGGTCCTTGGACACCCGGAGCAGTGGGAAGGCCTAGGTTCACCTACCAGCTGCTGAGGGGTAAAGACTCTTGAAAGTCCTGGGGAAAAGGCTGTAGGGACCACTGGGCCCAGAGTTGCAGGCCAAGACCTGGTGTAAGGTCATTGGACTATTGATTGGGGGACTCTCCTACCTACAATGTGTGGTAACTCTGTAGGGAAGAAGAGGTCTGTCATTCAGCTTTCAGTTGTTTGATCTCTGTGATGTCATAACCCTACTTGTTTCCCAGTTGTCTGCACAGACTTCAAACGAAAACCAGGGTAGAGAGAGAACCTCAGTTCTACTGTTTAAATAAAAACAAAATACAGAAACACTCATTTCAAGCCTACTTTATACAGGATAAAGAAGGGCCTGAGCCCACTTGTGTGTTTCCCTTTGCTGGTCACCCAGTGAGAGAGGAATGACACAACAAGGCTGTGTAATTCAACAGCCTTCCCCACCAAGTCATGCTCCTCTACTCTTCAATAAAACATTCCATTGGGATCCCGTTGCTAACTCCTGCCCAGACAAAC